CAAGTGGTTAAACTTCCAAGAATTTAAGTCGATTGGGAATTATTTCTACACTTTATAACTATATATATATAACATTAAATCATATATCTTATGTTTTTTGTGTGCGTTTTATTCTCATAACTAAAATAAATAATGAGCTTCTTCCTTAAAATATAAATTATACCTAACTGATACTCTGAATGAAAATCAAGTAATAAAGGATGATCAGGAATGTTCGATCCTTCCTAGTATATCGATAGTGTATATTGGAAACTTATATATAGTTAATTAATCGAACTTTATAGTTTTTTAGAGGAAGAGTAGAACTTCTATCTAGAAGAAAAATATTTTTCTATAAAAGACGATTAACACTATTCGAAAACAAGATGAAAATATTTACTCAAGACAAATAATGATATGATCATTAACTTATAAATATTTGGAATTATCCTTTTTTTCAGAAGATAGCCCTACTCCTTAAAAAAATCACATAGTTCAATCAATTAACTATATATAAGTTTATCATAAATACCATCGATTGACTAACACGAGTCCTCATCTTCGTCATTGCAAAAAACATTTTATCAACTGTGATTTATAATAAAAACTATATCAATGTATCAAAAGTTTTGAAAACTATTGTACGCATTAATATCGATCATCAGAACTATAATATCAATGATTGTTCATCTAGTACTCTCTAGTACAAAAACAAACAATCAAATTAGTATTATTATTGTCATTCAATAACGAAGCAATAGGAACAATAATTGGTATTGATTTCTCATGGTAAAAATTATTCTCAATAGATTGAACTTCAAGATGTGTAACAAAATTTTGTAAAAAATACTATTTTTCAAGAATAAATTGTCTTTTATTGTTGAAAAACTAAGCTTACAATCTTTTTTAGTAGTAGTTATTTAACAGTATAACTGATTGATTAGAATCAATTTTTCACAATTAATTAATAACTACATCAAAGATGTATATTAGGAAATCTTTATCAATTTCGAGTTCTTACTTGAAGATATCTGTGTTTATGTAATTTTACAACGAAACAATTAGTTTTGTTAGTGTCTTGCCGTAAATTAACATTTGGTTTTTGAATATACTTATGATAATTACTAAAAAGTTATGCATTAACATGTAAAAGAATACAATAAGATTGCGTTGTAAAGAAAAATACGAAAGAATTATTTGAATGACTCATTCATTGAGATAAGATTAAATATTGATTTAAATATATAAACGATTATTCGTTCAATTTCATTTAATAAATTTTAGAAAGAAGATTTTTCTTGATTATGATAATTAATCAAACAAAAGTTGAATAATCATTTTTGATACAAATCACTTTGAATTCTATATTTTAAGAACACATGTATCAAACTAACAACAACTGTTTTATTTATTATTCACGTGTTATCAAGTTCAATCTAGCTATACATAAAAGACGATTTTGTTTTTTTTCAAAGTTTCATAATGTATGACTGTATTTTTTATTATTAATTATATATTTACATAAAGTAGATAGAGTACAACTGTATTAATTACACTATAAATTTTATATTGAATTCATTTTATTTTAAAAAAACACAAATACAAAGAAAATAATTTATACAATATTCATTTCAAATCTCCAATTCTTTAGTTAATATAATGTTGACGATTAGAAGCAGGAATACCAGTGATAGGTTGATAATACTGATTACCTATCGGAATAAAATCAACTTCACGTTCAACATTCAGACGTCCTGAGTATGGATTACGATATAATTCAACATCTTGTAAATAAACTCCATAACCATAATTACCATAAGTAATAGTTCGATAATCTGTATTCCAACTATTGATTGGAGTGTTAAAAAGTGGTATAGTAATCAAGTTATTCATAATAGTAAAGTGTAAAATAGACAATCAATTTCTATCGGTATGAATGTATGAAAATAAGAAATAAATTTGTGAATATTTATACTATATGATAATACACGCGTATAATAATAATAGTAATTATTGTTTATAGAGAATAGAAATAAGGGCGTCATAATTGTACGTCATTAATATGATGTCATATTTACGTTTTACTCCCATCAATGATAAAAATAAATATACTAAAGTACAATGAAGAATATTTGTGAGTTTACTCACAAATAGTTTTATGTTAATGATATTTATTCTAATAATTTTTTCCAATTATTCTTAAATTGTTTCATAGAATTAAATTTTTCATGATTAATTCTTATTTTTTATTCATTTAAGTCTTCATGTAACAGTCATACAATGACAACTAATTTTGGTCAATCAAAAACAGAATTATATAAGTTTATGTGAATTTTATTCATGAATTTGTTGAACAAATTACATCTATGATTGATTATTCGTAGAATAAAACTATTCAATGTTATAGTTCAAGCATTTGATATTGTTATATATTCTTACAAATGTTATTAATTCGAACACTTTTTCATAACCATTTATTAAGTTTAACTAAATTAGTTTTACAGAAGAATTAAAAGTTTTTTTTTCATGCAGAGAAAGTTAAATATTTTTATTATTGTTTCATAGTAGATTTCTTATTTCTCTTTCAAAATAGAAATAAATGTATAACTATCAAAAGGAACTATTATTACAATAAATGTGATTAAAATAAAACTATTTGTGAGTAAATTCACGAATATTCTTCATTGGACTTTGGATATTTATTTTCATCATTGATGGGAGTAAAACGTAAATATGACATCGTATTGATGACGTACAATTGCGACGCCCTTATTTCTATTCTCTATAAACAATAATTACTATTATTATTATACGCGTGTATTATCACATAGTATAAATATTCACAAATTTATTTCTTATTTTCATACATTCATATACCAATATAAATTGATTGTCTATTTTACACTTTACTATTATGAATAACTTGATTACTATACCACTTTTTAACACTCCAATCAATAGTTGGAATACGGATTATCGAACTATAACTTATGGTAATTATGGTTATGGAGTTTATTTACAAGATGTTGAATTATATCGTAATCCATACTCAGGACGTCTGAATGTTGAACGTGAAGTTGATTTTATTCCGATAGGTAATCAGTATTATCAACCTATCACTGGTATTCCTGCTTCTAATCGTCAACATTATATTAACTAAAGAATTGGAGATTTGAAATGAATATTGTATAAACTTCTGTCTTTTTGTTTTTTGTAAAATAAAATGAATTTAATATACCGACAATATTGAATCAATTTCTATATTATCAGTGTCAAATAGTTATTCTTTTAATTTGATATTACAAGTTGAAAAAAAGTTCGATGTAATCGATTATTTTATAGAGTAAAGTGAAAATGAAATATAACTCATTTGTAAGTTTGAATACATGTAGTTGATTGTTTCAAATGCATAAATGAAACTAGATTGTTCGGATTCTTCAAAAATATTGATTATACTAAGACAAAAAGTCAACGATCATAACTAATATTTTTTTTCTTAGTATCGAATTTTCTCAGAAGTGTTTAGAGAGTTTGACAAAACGGGAAAATTAGAAGGCATACTTTCATAATATGATTTGACTCTTTCTCTTTTTGACATACTTGACAAATCCTTTCTTAGTTTTGATAAGTTTTCTCCGTTAGTAATAAATAAATTATATAAAAAATCTTACCCACTTTATATACACATACAGTTGTAGAAATCGTGAAAACTTCAATATTGAATTATGCCAAAATCTTATTTAAGTAACGATCAAGGGCGTGTAGACAAGACACGTAAAGAGTAAAGATACGGATGATAAAACCTACACACATACATTTTCGTACAAAAAATTAACACATGTTAAATTATTCAAAACTTTTCTATTTGTCTGAGAAATTCGTATATATTTCAAAAATGATGGAAAGAAAAAAGAATGTTTTTTTCGTCTATCGTGCGTGAGTATGGTGTGGCTGTGAGTATCTCTTCTCTTAACCTCAGCCATATCCACTCCCACACCCACAACATTTACGAATAATGATTCTCATGAAATCTAACAAGAAACATTGCACGAGGATCTTGTGTAGCTTGTAGTCATACAAGCAGATGTGAGAAAAAGCGTACCAATACACACCATTAGTGTAATAGGTTGTTTTGAAGGCTATTATACTCTGAAACATTTCTGCATACTTTTATCTGCTAACAAAATTTATTCGAGATTATTTCGGAACGTAAAACAAAAAATTCATCTTAATAAGAAAGAATCCGTAATTAAAAGACTAAAGACAAGATTGCAAATTTGTGTACTGTGTAAAATAAATTAAAATGACGAACAAAAAGTAGATTTGTGTGCAGTTTTGTCTTCATATCTCAACGATACTTCTCTATAGATATTCTGTACTAATCAGTTTCATTTTTTTTTCGAGTGGCTTGAATTGATAAATTTAAGGCTAACGATGAGATAATCACTAATCGTAAAGAATTATTAAATAGAAATTGTCTTATTGTTGATTCTTCTTCGTTAAAATAGATATTCATATAAAAATAAAGTAAATGGAATGTGAATATTCTGTTTGCCTCATTGACTTCCTTATTAGTTCGCATCTCTGATATGATAATATATTAACTTTTAGACTATCTGTTGTTGTTATTTACAGATATATTCGTCTTTGCCATTCATAAACTTACTAGACGGTCTTTTGATAACCGAAGTGTTTTAATAATCATATATTCCAAATTCGATATAGACTTTCAAACAATTAAATATTATGCTAAACTGCACTGTGTTAAACTAAGAGAACATTTGAAAGGATAATTAAAGTTATCGTATCAATTGTAAGTTTTTTAAATCATCGTAAACTAATTTATAAGAGCAGAAAAAAAAGATATATTTTTTTATCTGGGATAAAATATTAGAGTATGCGATAATCTAGTAAAATATAGAAGGAAAAAGTTCACGGAAATCATAAAAACAGACACTTCTAACTAAAGTTTTCTTTGGAATTTGAACTACTTGAAAGAAAATGAATAAAATAAGTCAAAGTCAATTTATTCCAAATAATTGATATACTTCTGCACTATTTAAGTAATCAGTACTATATCCACCAGTAACTAATACTCTTCCATTTGACAAAACAGATGCTGTGTGATGAGCTCGTGCATTATTCATGTTGTCAGTAGTTGTCCAAATACCTGTTGATGGATCATACACCTCAGCACTATTAAAATAATTAAAACGATCATTTCCACCAGTAACTAATACTTTTCCATTTGATAATATAGATGCTGTGTGATATCCTCGTGTACTAATCATATTACTCATAGTTGCCCAGTTACTTGTTGACGGATCATAGAGCTCAGCACTGTTTAAATAATTAACAGAATCATGTCCACCAGTAGCTAATACTTTCCCATTAGATAATACAGATGCTGTGTGATACTTTCGTGCATTAGTCATGTTACCAGTAGTTGTCCAAATACCTGTTGATAGATCATACAGTTCAGCACTATTTGAAACATTACCATTGTATCCACCAGTGACTAATACTTTTCCACCTGATAATACAGATGCTGTGTGTTGATATCGTGCACTAGTCATGTTACCAGTAGTTGTCCAAATACCTGTTGATGGATCATAGAGTTCAGCACTATTTAAATAATCAATACCATATCCACCAGTAATTAATACTTTTCCATTTGATAATACAGATGCTGTATGATAATTCCGTGCATTATTCATGTTACCAGTAGTTACCCAAATGCCTGTTGATGGATCATACAGTTCAGCACTGTTTAAATAATTTCCATTCCATCCACCAGTAACTAATACTTTTCCATCTAATAATACAGATGCTGTGTGTTCATATCGTGTATCAGTCATACTACCAACAGTTGCCCAAGTCCCTGTTGATGGATCATACAATTCAGCACTATTTAAAGCACTACTGCTACCATTCACTCCACCAGCAACTAATATTTTTCCATTTGATAATACAGATGCCGTGTGAAAAGATCGTGCATCACTCATATTGCCAGTAGAAAACCATCCTAGATATATATTTTTATATATTTAGACAATACAGCATTACATGATTAAACAATCAACATTCATTATTCTTCTACAGTGTTTTTCACTATTCTAAGAACGACAGTCTTTCATATGTCTGTTTTGTAACACCTCAAATTTATGTAGACTGAGAATAGTAGTCAAATCTATTGCACAAAATCTCTTCACATATCATTATCACATCTTCAGTTTTCTATATTTTCTATTTCCTCTGTTATCTCAATCAAATATATGAAAGATGTTTGTTTCAATTTAGCCACTGTGCTAATTATACTAACTAATATGTTTTTCAATTCTCGATGAAGTTCACATATTTTGATCGGAAGATATTCTGTAGAATGAAAAATGTGAACTTTGCGTCAACTCTTCCATAGTTCTCTGGATATCACTGTAACATCTTATGTGATTGTTATGCGATGCCGTTTGTTTCTCTTCTCACTAGTTATATATGTAGCTATATCCTTCATTTCTCATCACTCTTTCTTCCTTTCTCTTGCAGACAACTATATCTTTATCTATTAGTATAACTAAAATGAATTATTTTAGTTGAGTGTGATGAAATCTAAAATGTAAATAATATGTATTCATACCTGTGTTACACATTTGTGTTGCTAAGACTGGTAAACATACTGCTTGTGATGAACAACATGAATTAATAGCGCATATTGAATTATTTGATGAACATGTTTGTGTAATATTATTACATGTTTCTAATATCGAACATAAAATACCAGGTGCACAATAACTAATATTATTTGTTGTTCGGTAATCAAAACAAGGTGTTGTTGATGAAAGACAATTATTGTTACCATTCATGCTTATATTACATTGTTGTAAAGAACAATTTGATGTTGGATTCCATGCTGAATGAGATGATGAAGATAATGTAAACTGAATAGAAACATTATTTTCACTACATGAATAGTTAGGTAGTTGTGTAGTTTGACCTATAGAATTCATTTATATTGTGATAGAGTGAAATGAACAAAGAGAATCTGACAAACCTTTTACAGATGAATTAGATATAATGAAAAACAAGACAATGATAAATCGCATTGTTTTTTGTGTGATCGATGAAAAAAATAAAGTGTGCACATTATAATAAATGATTTTTTTTACTCTTTTTTTCCTTTACTTCCCACATTTCTCTTTTATTTGAAAGAGCATAAAACAGTTTCTCTCAATACTTGTGTGTGTCCTTGGAACCAAAAATCAATTCCTTTTATTTTGAATTTGTTATTCATTAAAATGCATTGAAACGTTTATTTTGTAAACGTTTGTTATAGAAAAAAACTCTTCTATGCCTATAATTTTCATTCTCATCGAATACTCATTTCTGTTGTTTTTTCATCACATCCAAATATAAAATATTTCTTCGATCGAAGTATAAAGCATCATCAGTTATGTGATCTTGTTTTGTTAATGAAATTAAAAGAAAACATCTCTGGAACAGATTCATGTATACTTAATCATTTGTTTTTGTAAGACTTCATTCATTGCACACGTCTTTTTTGATATTTTTTGAATAACATTATTCTTGGAGAGAGAGCAAAAAATATATTTAATATAATTTGAGGGTGGATGCAGATACAAGTAAACAATGGACATCCACACCTAAATGTTACATTATTTGATAGAATAATGTTATTATCATATAATATATATTTATATTCATTGTATTTTTACATAATTCATAACCCATATTCATTTGTTGATTAATAACAAATTCAGATAGATTTTGGACTATTTTATTCAAATCTTATTTTAATTGCATTATAGTTAACTTGTCTTCTTGGTATTGTAAGTTTTGATTTATTTAAAAATAAAAACTAAATTGAAAATAATGTTCTTTTAGATTTGTTATACAATAAGATTAAAATTTAAACAAATAGTGTTAAATACTCTTATATGATAATATTAGTATGTTTTGGTAATTATATCAAATTATTTAATGTGATTTATTATATTAGTATTAACAAATGTTGTTCTATCTAAATTATATTGAATAAAGTCTAGTGAAACACTTTATTAGATAAGTTCAGTAATGGAAACAAGTTTAGAAAAGATGTTATTTAGAATAATGGCAATATTATTTTTAAACATTTTTCATCTTATTATTCTGGTGATATTTAGTATATTATAAATGGTAAATATTCGTCATTATAATTCACCAACAAATTCTTCATCAAATTAAGGACATGAAATGCAAATAACAATAATGCTTGTTTTAATAAAATTATGTACTGTATTTGTTCAACTTCTTCAAGATTTTTTTGTTAGTTACAATTGATATTGATAAAAAAATCTTGTTATTTTATATTTACAATTAGAAAACTTCTGAGATTTGTCATAAATTTTTTCATTGTTTATAGCATTTGTTTGTGTATTGTTTAATATCATAAGAATATCGAATGGAAATGATATTAATTATTTTATCTTATATTTTTATTAAAAAATAAACTAACATTTCAAGGGATCTTTGTTTTTATTTTATAAAATGTCTGAAAAATTAATTTGACGAAAAAAACATCTTTTATGTTGTTTTAATAAAAATAGTTTCTATCCTAATTTTTTTTTCAAACATATTTCGACTTTAACACTAATGAATATTCTATTTGCATGTAGAACTTTTTCTATGAGTAATAAAAATAAATGGAAATAAACTTGATCTCTCACAAGAACATTCGTATTATTGTTTTATTCGTGTACTATTTAATGAAGACTTTATTTTTATTTTTAATCAAATAATTTATCAAAAGTTTCAATTTAAGAAACTCTGTTATTGACTCAAGAAGATTATGTTATACTATTATATAAATTATTCAATTCTGAGAAATTATGTGAACTTATCAGAAGATTTCATCTTTTTTTATTGAGGGCATGAGTGTAGAGATTGAAGAAGGTTTACAGCCACACCCATATTCATTCGCATCCATAAAAACACTGAACCCCGCTCGTCATTTCGGTTGGCAACTTCCCTAAAATATTGCATCACCCAATGTAGAATTTAATTATGCATTCATCACAACTACTTTTAAACGGATCATAAGTCCAGAAATGAATGTCAGCAGGGAATACTCGAACCTGCTCATAACTTTAACTACGTAATTATACAGAAATTATTTTATTTTCTATTCTTTTTCGCTAACATACATATTCATATAAATATAAGGTAAGTTGGATGTTGGTATTTTGTGTAACCCACGTACATTAACATCCTCGTTCTCATTTCGTCTTACGTTCGATATCATTACATATTAACATTTAGATTATCTTTTAGGATTGTTATTTTCAGACATATTCATCTCTATCAATGATGAACTTCTTGAAAGTCTTTTGGTAACTGAAGTGTTTCAATGAGTATATATTCTAAATCCGATAAATACTATCAAAACAATTGAATATTATAAGTAACTTCGCTGCAAAATAAAGAGAAGATTTGAAAGAATAATCAAAATTATCGTCTCAATTGTAAGTTTTGTTAATCATAATGAATCAGTATATAAGAGTAGAAAAACAAAGATATTTTATTTATTTGGGATTGAATATTAAAGTAAATGATAATTCAGTAAAAATATGGAAGGAAACAATTCACGGACGTCACAAAATGAGAATTCTTCTAACTAAAGTATTGTTTGCAAATTGAATTACTTGCAAAAAAAAGAATAAGACAGGTGAAAGTTAATTTGTTTGAGATAATTAATATAATTCTGCACTATTTAGAACACTATTATTACCAAATCCACCAGTAACTAATACTTTTCCATTTAATAATACAGATGCTGTGTGCGCACGTCGTGCATTAGTCATGTTACTAGTAGTTGTCCAAGTACCTGTTGATGGATCATACTGCTCAGCACTATTTAAATCAATATTATTATTCCAACCACCAGTAACTAAAACTTTTCCATTTAATAATACAGATGCTGTGTGAAAATTTCTTACATCACGCATATTACTAGTGGTTGTCCAAGTACCTGTTGATGGATCATACAACTCAGGACTAATATTAGCACCAATGTCACCTCCACCAGTAACTAATACTTTTCCATCTGATAATATAGATGCTTCGTGGTAAGCTCGCCCATTAGTCATGCTACTAGTACTTGTCCAAGTACCTGTTGACGGATCATACAATTCAGCACTATTTAAAACAGTATTGCCAATGCTTCCACCAGTAACTAATACTTTTCCATTAGATAATACAGATAGTCTATGATAATATCGTGCGTCAGTCATGCTACCAGTACTTGTCCAAATACCTGTGGATGGGTCATATAATTCAGCACTAGTTAAAACAATAATCCCATCGAATCCACCAGTAACTAATACTTTTCCATTCGATAATATAGCTGCTGTGTGAAAATATCGTCTAGTAATCATACTGCCAGTGATTGTCCAAGTACCTGTTGATGGATCATACAGTTCAGCACTATATAAAGGATTACCACCATTGGTTCCACCAGTAACTAATACTTTTCCATTTGATAATACAGATGTCGTGTGAACATAACGTGCAGTAGTCATGCTCCCAGTAGTTGTCCAGGTACCTGTTGACGGATCGTATAGCTCAGCACTATTTAAAACAATATTACTATCAATTCCACCAGTAACTAATACTTTTCCATTTGATAATACAGATGCTGTGTGGCGGTATCGTGTATCAGTCATATTGCCAGTAAAAATCCATCCTAGAAGGTACATTTTTATATATTTAGACAAAGCAATATTAGCTCGTGAAACACTCAATGTTCGTTATTCTGAAAACGACAGTCTTTCATATATCTATTTTATATCACTTCAAACTTGTATAGACTGACAATAGTAGTCAAATGTATTGTACAAAATCTCTTCACATATCATGATCATATCTTCAGTTTTGTATATTTTCTATTTCGTCTCTTATCTTAGTCAAATATATAAAAGATGTTTGTGTCAAATTGACCACTATTATGATTACACTGACTGATGTGTTTTTCGATTCTCTACAAATTTTACAAGTTATGCTTGAAAGATATTCAATAGAATGAAAACTATGAACTTCTCATCAACTCTGTTATAGTTCGCTGCATATCACAATCAAAATAATGAATTATTCATAACATTTTGTTTTCAATGATCAGTGTATACATATGAGAAGATCTATATAGTATTCGTCACTGGAATTGATATAAAACATGAACTAATGAGAAAATGAGTAATTGATCTTGAAGTCTCTGATAATTCACTGTCAAATTATTGTTAGTTCTCCATTAATTTACATAAATTCATCTATTTAGTTGTTCTCAACTCTATTCTCAGTCACATTTCATATCTAATCAAATGCTCTACTAAAATTTATTACCACACAAACAATTTTTCATCAGTTCCCTACTCACATCTCCTTATGTGATGAACACTGTCATAGGAAAAAAAATTTCTTTACAAAACTGGTTTAGATAAATTATTTGATGGTTACTTACTAGCGACTGTACTAGATTGATTAGTTGTATTGACGAAATGAACTGAAAAGCAAAAGGAAAAAAGTTATGAGCTAGAGTCAGTGGCAATGATATTGCATATTTTACCTGTTGTTGTTGGTTTTGTTGTCGATGCTTTAGTGGTAGTCGTCGTCTTCTGAGTTGTTGTTGTAACTGAATCAAAAAAAAAATAAGTTAACCACAAAATAAACATCTTTTAAAGAGAAAATATAATGAAATCACGCTTACTCTTTGTTGTAGATTTAGTTGTGGTTGTTGTACGTACTATTAAAACATAGAAATAATTTATTCTAGATCAACTAATTCCTTTTGTTCTAATCGTGTTTAAATTTGCAAGACAAAATGCCTTACCTGTAGTTGTTGTTCGTAATGTTGTAGCTGTTTTGAGAAGAAGAAAATAAATAAAACTAAAATAGTTATTAGAAATCTTTTTTACTTGTAACAGTCTTTGGTGGACAAATTTGTTTGTTTGCCATTGCTAATGGATAGCATACTGGTTGACTACATCGTGTACTATTCACACAGATTGTACTCTCGATTGAACAAGTTACATTATCCATATTACATCGTACAAAACTTTCACAGGAGAGAGTAGCTAAAGCACATATTCCTGTATTCAGATTGGATGTTAATGAAAAACAATCGCAATCAAGATTCGATGAACATGATATTCGTTGAGAATTACATGCAGTAAAATTACATGTTGCTATTGTTGTTGAGTTAACTAAAAAATAAATAATAAGAAAATATGAAAAATAATAGTCATTATTATTAATTACTTAGCTGTTGTTGTTGATCTGATGTGTTTCTATCGTTGAAAAAGATAAAAAAAAGAAGTGCATACGATGTAGAACTTGATAATTAATACTTACACTAGGAGTAGCACATAGAATAATAAAATAAAGCTTGAACTTAAAATTTTCGCCATTGTGAGATACAATAGTATAAATTGTTAAGTAAAGAATATTCTTCTCTTACTACTTTTCGTTATGTTTGTTATAGAAGCGTTGTGAAATAATCGAACGAAAGTCGACCCAATTTATAGTTACAAACTAAAATGATTCTTTTCTTATTTTTTTTCAAGAGGTCATGAAATGCTCTTCCTTTTAGTATACATCGTCATCGACTGGAATTTCAAGTGTGTTTTTGAAGAGAAAAAAACATTATTTGAAAATAAAAACTTCATTGAATTATATATTTGATGAATAGAGAAAGAAAAGAAAATGTGAGCAAATAAACCATACTACTTCCTATTTAACAAAAAAAACATTACCTCTGGCAGTCAGTTTTAACAAAAAGCTTTGGTTAAAAAGAAATTGTAAAGCTCGAAATTTTCAATTCATACTTGTTTATTGATGTGGCATGAATTAAGATGACAAAATCATTCAGTCTACCTTCGCCGAGAGAAACTCGTCGAAAATGAGCTTTACCAAATCGATTCTCGTCGGGTGTAGGTGTGCGTGAGGTCAAAGGATGATGTCGGTGTAGAGGTAAGCGTTGTTTTTGGTGTGGGTATGGGTGTGAGTGAGAGTACTGGTGAGGGTGAGGTTATGAGAAGAGATAATCTCACCCGCACCCGCAAGGTTTCTATTCTCGATAAACAATAATTTGTATCATTACTATACTTATTGTTTATTTTACACTTTACTATTATGAATAACTCGATTACTATACCACTTTTTAACACTCCAATCAACAGCTGGAATACAGATTATCGAACTATTACTTATGGTAATTATGGTTATGGATTTTATTCACAAGATGTTGAATTATATCGTAATCCATACTCAGGACGTCTGAATGTTGAACGTGAAGTTGATTTTATTCCAATAGGTAATCAGTATTATCAACCTATCACTGATATTCCTGCTTCTATTCATCAACATTATATTAATTAAAGAATTGGAGGTTTGAAATGAATATTGTATAAATTATTTTTCTTTTTCATTTTGTAGAATAAAATGAATTTACTATAAAAATACATTCAGTTTTTATTGTGATAGAAGTAAAGATAGTTTTTACAATATATTCGATGGATGATATGATAATAGCTTATATCAAATGAATAAGCATTCAAACAGATCACCTTCTATCAAAAAACTGGTTGAATAGATTCTTCTCTGCAAATATCTCTATTTTTCTTGTTGTTCAGTTACGAAAAAAAACTTGTTTTTGGTTATTTAGTATAAAAGAAAGTCTATCAGCAGTATTCTAATATTAGTGATCTATCGGTTAGATAGTGCTAATAAACGTATTATATAGACTATTCTTTTCTATTACTCATTCATTACTATAATATATATTACTCTATCAATCATTTTTCGTAATATAATGTTACTTGCAAATGGTGTATCAGAGAACTTTTCAACTAAAGCGATGTCGTAAGAAAAAATCTCTAATGATGAATGCTTGATCGAAAGAGATTCTATTATAACTAATAATGAACTTAGAATAATCGAATTGGAAACGATTTCTTTTGCAATTTCAGTACTTTTCACAATATTTTAGTGTATTCTAATAAACTTCTATAAGTCTATAACAGAGTTAGCTTGCACGATATGAATAATTTCTGCTTTGATTATAACGCATTATTTAATTCATTTTTTCGTCGCAGTACGATTTGTGTTTGATGATTTAACAGAACAGTCACATATTTTTATTGTTCTTCATCGATATATAAGAACCTTTTCTTCATATAGAAAACCAAAAAAGAAATTGTTAAAAGTAATGAATTAATTTTTATATAGAAAAATGTTACTATTAAATTTAGATTTTGTCAATCATTATGGACATTAAGGTAGCTCATTTGACGATATGTACTTTATGACATAAAATTAATAAATCATACAAAGCAGTTGTTGGTTTTGTTTACTAAAATAATTTTTATATACAACATGCATTGCGGGAGCTTACAATTATATTAATCGATCACGGTTTTTTTTAATATAAAAACAAAATTGTGCATAGATGAAGTAATGGCAAGGTCGCAAAAAGAAAGAGAAAGAGAACAGAAAATAATTCACTCTGCCTACATATTTTTCAAGAAAGGATAAATTGTTTGAGAAGCTGAGAAAGCACACAAGCGTTTTTTTTTCTTTTTTATATAAACAAATCTGTTCTATGTGAGCAAAATTTGTGTCAATCATTTTCATTTTTTTTCTTTTATTGCTCATTTCGAAGATTGTGAATAACAAACATAAAATATTCAATCATCTGTAAGTCGGTATTATATGGTTAGTATAGGTTTTAGTGATTTATATAGTATTGAAATACTGTGTTTTAATAATATATTTTATCACAATGACGTAGTTTCTCTTGCATTATATTCTTATCGTAGGATAGTAATAGCGAAAAGATTTGAATCTTTAACTCAAAACTCACCGTAAGTAGAATAATTAGACGCTAAGTAAATTTAAAGTTTCTCAGTAAAAAAAACTACATTTGATCGGTAAAAAATTTCATTATTAAGTAATTGTAAAATAGCAAATCAAAGTTTCTATACTTCTATGATGACGTCTGTATTTCCCCACACGCTCATCTAAAATAAACTTACATTAATTTTAGATTCGTACATGTTCAGAATATTACTAGGCAATGTATATTTACCGGTGCTAACGGAGATTAATTTTGAATCTTACCGACATTATTATCGTTTTCGACGAATAATAATCTTCATTTGTTTGGTAGTAACCATCTATATATTGATGTTTTTTGTTATGCCTCATGTTAGTTTGACTAATCCAAGATTGTTTACATCCGATAATCTCCATCTTCCAAAATATCTTCAATGTGCATATCATAATCGAACTCAACTTGAATATGGTCGTTCTCATTTTGCTCGTAGTCGAGTAATTATTTGTGGAATGATTCGTGATCGTGAAAATCAAATTGATCGCCTTCGACAGCAAATTGAATCTATAACGAAACTTTTCGATGATTACGCTGTTGTTATTGTTGAGAATGATTCAACGGATAAAACTCGACAGAAATTAATTCATTGGGCTGAAGATAAAGAAGTCGCAGGTCGAATTCATGTCATCGGATGTGGAAATCGAATCAATGATCCTTCCTCATGCAATCTATCACTAGCTCCTACACAACCTAAGGCTGGTGCAAATCTATTACGTATTGAAAAAATGGTACAGCTGAGAAATCTTTATATGATATATCTGGAAAATAATATACAATTTGCAAACTATGAATATATTCTTATTCAAGATTTTGATCTATGGGGTTATACATATATTGATGGATTTCTTTCTACCGGTTTCTATTTGAGTACAGATCCTACTATTGATGCAATTTGTTCTAATGGTATTCGTCATAATGAATTCTTAGCTGGTTTAATTTCGTACAAAACCTATTTTGATCCCTATGCTCATAAAGATGAATTTGATCAAAAGTGGACTGTTAATTCGAACAATCTTTGGTCTTCAATTTTTCGTTATTATTTATGTAACAATCATCTTATAAAAGTACAATCATGTTTTTCTGGTCAAACTATTTATCGACGTCAAAGTTTGAAAGGTAAACGCTATCGAACATATCTTAATTTTAATCAACAACCAATTTGTGAACATGTTGGATTACATGAGACATTGGAGAATATCTATTTAAATAGTGAAATGATATTTTATATTATGGAAAATAATCTTTCATAGGAAATATACGTAAATGAACTATGTATAAGAGTGAATTTTTAGTAATGATGAAAGAGAATTTTTTTTATTATTGGTGCAGTCTTGTTTTAGCAAAAATGAAGTAGAATTGTAATGCATAGTCTATCGGAATGTTATTTCTGAAGTACAAATTGATCAGCAATATTATCATCAATATTGTGACGATATGTAAAATGTAAATATGTTTGATTAGCCCATAATTGACAATATCCATATACTTCATCATGATACATACTCCATTCAGCACCTGTATATTCACCAGTGTCTATATCTTGTCCAGCCATTCCGATTAATACATGTGTTATACCATCTGATACACATTTTCGTTGATACATTGGGCATGTTCGATCATATGAATGTCGATGTGCAAAGAGATTAACATCAACATGATATCTATAAAATAATGGTTCCAAATGAAATTGTAACATTAATGCAATAAAATCAAAATCATGAGGATCATCTCTTATTGATGCATACATTGGTCGATGTGAACCAACAATAAGCCATGGAGTACGAGAACGATTTACTGAACGAAGATCTTGTTCGAGCCATGCATATTGAATTGATGATCGACGAAAATCATGTTCTGTTGAAAAATGAATTATATGAATTGGTCCAACATCAAAACTATACCAAAAGAGACTATTTCCATTTGATGGAGAATGAAAACGATGAACCATTGGAATTGCACATTCACCACGTGAATCATAAAGATAATCACCCCTAAATAAAACAAGACGTTTTAAAGAAAATATCTAACCCTTTATCGAAATAGACACTCACCATGCTGGTCGAAATCCTCCTGGACCAGATGCACCACTTGGATCTTTTTCACCACCTAATACATGATCATATTCATGATTACCTATTGCAGCCATATAAGGTACATGAGCTGCTATTGGCTGAATTTGATTCATAAATCCATCCCATTGAACAGCAATACCCATAGCATAACTAAGATCACCAAGATGTAACACACAAGTGACATTTGTTGATTGTACTCGAGCTGTGACCCGATCTGTCGTAGATTGTGAACCTGGTGCAAGTGGAGCCAAACCCATATCACCATATGCAATCATATAAACTGCTTCATTTTTATCTGCCGGACGATTTGTAAATGAATTGATAGGTGACCAGCCATGTTCATCAGTTCCTACACGATAATAATATGTTGTTGATGGATGAAGATTTTCTAATAAAATAGTATGCATGTATCCCGGATCGATAAATGCTCGTGAACCCCATGTATTCGCCTTTCCCTCACACATATCTGATGCTGTATAAGTTGTTGTTGTTCCATTTTGACGAAAGTTTAATAATGATGGACTTAATCCATATTGACATTGAGGAATATATTGTGATGAATTAGTTAAATAGGAAACAAACATTTGATCTATTCGATCACTATAAGCTAAATGAATATGTGTTGGCTCATTATAATTGCGTGGTTGAATAACAGGAGATTTAGCAAGAAAAGTGTAATTACCTAAACAAGTTAGATCTCGTGAATAATAACGAAATTCTAATGGACGACGAAGATTAATCATTTGCCATGACATACTGCCTTGCGTTTTATTAACAACTTCATAATCGTAATAATCACAAGCTAGAAAAACAAGAATAGAACTGTACATGTGAATAAATCATTTAAAAAAAAGAGTCATATTTACCGGCAGTAAGAGGAATCTCTGCAAAATAAATTGCAATAAAATCATCTTGACATACAGTTGATACGGATGTCCAAGTAATTGTAATCTGTTCGTTGGTGGAATAGATCGTAGTTGATACATTTAAAGTTGCTACGGTTTCACTTATAGAAGACGATACGTGTGGGGGATGTCTACAAGCATCTTCAGGATGGTCATCTATTCTATGAGACTTCCGAAAAGGACCGTTGCCATTGAAATGTTTACCTGCCGCAGCGAAAGCTATAAACGAGGACAGAAGAATAATGATCCACCTCATTTTATCAAAACAAAAGTTGCTCTGTAACTTGTGATACTTTACCTGCGTTTAAATATAACAGCGAGAGACTGATAAGTAAAAGAAAACTGATAGCATATCATTGTAGAATGAAGGACACTTTCTATATGGCAAATCTTTTCTGCAGCTAAAAAGAACACAATATATTTCATATATGGGTCGAGATTTTTTCTGTAAACCAAGTATAGATGAGGATGCGAGATTGATATATCAGTTACAACCACAAGTCCAGAAGTAAATATCAGCAGGAAATACTTGAAACTATTGATAACTTCCACTACGTCCTGTTCAGGCTTGCCAAACCTTTTGATTTGACCAGGAGACTCCTGATTTCTCTTGGTTTTTAATGCTTTTCTTAAACCCCTTCCCATGATAGGAGCTCCCCATGAGATGAACAATGGGTTTGACGTATTAGAAGCCCTCTGATTTTTTCAAAAACATTTTCACATTTTTTAATTTTTTTTTCCGCATTTTTGTGTCAAAACTGCTAAAATCTTTCGATTTTAAGGTGAAAACTTCACTAATTCCAATCTGGCTGTGCTAAAATCTGAAAATACCGCTGAAAATCTTCTAAAAAAAGCTGGAAAAACCTTGAAAATCTTTCAATCGTTTTTGTAGTCACAGCCTATGAAAATGTTTTGGGACATCATAGGAGCTTCCTCCCGAAGCTTCAGGTGGTAGACATATTAAAAGCCCATGGGAGTTTCTAATGTGGTGGAGGAGGTTACATCAATTCTAACATCGTTCAATCCATACAAAATGAGAAAAAAGAGGAATATTATAGCTAGATATATGTAGTAGCAATCCAGGTGGTGCGAAACCAGCATCATATTCACTTTTTTTGGAATTTCAGAAGATCAGACCTAAGCACGAAAAGTCTGGTCGCATAATAAGACTTTAGTTTCGAAAAATTACAAGTTCTGGTTCCCCAAAGCTCGATTTCATACCGTATATTTATGCGATACTTCTATATTTTTTTCAAATGAAATATCTCGACCTCTTTCGAGTATTTTAATCGTCTTCAGTTTTTGTTACTAAAATATTCTTTTTGCGGCATGATATGGATCAGTATGAAGAGTCGGTTGTGAAATGATAAACCAGTCTTATCGGTACACTAATCACACGATGTACTGAAACAATGCGGGTAAAATAGACAGAAAAAAAACAACGACAAAATCTCGAATTCGTTTGAAAAACAATTTTTATAGACAAAATAACCCAAATATGAAATACATCCGTAGACAAAAGTCTTTTTTCTCTCTTTATTTCTATGCTATCATACGTTGTATAAAGTTTATTGCCGAGTAGAGACGTGACTTTGAAATTTTATTTCAGTATGGTATGCAGATCATAATACAATAAAACTCTCAAGTCATATCTCAACTTGGGAATAATTTTTACACAAGGTGTGATAGCAAAGCACGAACAGGGGAAAGACTTTTGTGCGGGGATGTCGTTTCGGAGAGTGTGTATGAAACATCCAACAAAATCATCTTTCTAAAGTGAACCTCACAACAAATAATTAAATAACCTGTGTTTTCTTCTTTTTTTGCCATCTCTAGTAGAAATATATGCGGTACCTTATATTTTTATGACTAGAAACAGGATCAACAAAGAAGGCTTTGAAAAATTTCAACCTATAAAATTCTCATCTATACGGACTAATTGATATTTTTATAGCCGATTCGGTTTCAACACTGATATAGTTCAATAAATAATGAGTTTAAAAAACTGATTATGAGTCAAGTTTCAATCACACAAAAATTTTGATGATATGATAATAAAAATAGAATGAAAAAAGATCCTGATGGATGTCGAGTTCAAAAGCAAAATAAAAAAATCTCTGAAATAGTAAAGAATTGTTAAAACCAATTCACTCAGAAGAAAAATACAATTGTGAAATAAAAGTATCAAAAAAGACGTTGGAAACGAATTACTCTGTTGTGTTTCAGTTATTTAGCATTTCCCTAAAACTCATTTGTATTTGTTTCGTTTATATTTTTCAATAAACAGCTTTCAAAAAACCAATAAAATGAACTATGTGTAATTATCTTTCTGTTTTTCGTGGGTTCATTCACGAGGAGATAGCTTTTCATTGTTGGTTTATTAAAAATCAAAATTAAAAATGTTTGAGGGCGAAAAGCTTTGCTTTTTCGCAGATAAAGTGCGTGATACTCGTATTTTAGTTCTGGTTTCGAGAGAAAGTTTCCTAATTTTTCTCCTGATTTTGTAAGAAAAGTCTTCTGATTAACTCCTGTTTTTTAAAGAAAAGACTCTGATTTCTGAAATTTGGATTTGGCAACCCTGATGCACATCCACACTTTCTGATAGTTTGTAAACTTCGGATCGTATTGTGTATGTGCAACTGAATATTCTTCTCGCGAAATAATTGGAGTGGTTTGCTTCATAAACTGACAACATTCGTCACGTATTTTTTCTTTTTCCAACTACGCATTTTATTATGAAAGAATGTGCAAATATTCAAAAAAAGACATTCAAAGTCCACAATACACAAGGAATGTTATTGCAAAGAAAGGGAAGTAGAATTAATGCATTCAAGTGCTATGCAGTTAAACATTGTTAATAAAAAAATGTATTCTTCTTCATGCGGGTGTGGGTGTGAATATTATATCCATCTTACACCCACACCCATCAGTTGCATCGTGTTTCTCATTTTTAATCTCAAAGAAATTGCGCTACCAGCTTTTTTTGATACGTGAAATATTTTTATAGTTATATAACTCGATACAAGAGGTAACTCATAAAAAATATCCCCCGACGAAAACATGTATGATTATCAGTGCTCGAAGCAGTAAAAGACGTCATTAGAGAGGAAGTAATTTATGTATATATAGGCGAGTATTTCGTGAGTAAGGTATTCTTGTTCGAAAATAACAACTCTTTTACTTTATCGTAAATTATATGGTTGTCCAAACATTAGTGCTAACTTTGGTTGCATTGCTGTCGACACTTGCGTAAGTTGTAGCTGTTATTTATCTTTTTTATATACTGTTCTCTAATAATAGATTTCCATCTGTGCTGTGTTCTAGTAAGTACTATCGGCTTCTGAAACGAACTGTCGGAATTTATCATATAAAAGTCATTACTATTTAAAGAACATATATCTACTAGCCGTTTCCTTTATTTCGAATAGGTTGTCCAGACGGATATACATTCATTGGCTTTGACGAATTTAGTGATGACCAGGAACCCATACCATTCTTATATTATGGACTTGAATGGTCAAACGGAGGTTATCTTATGAGTTCAAAGTATCCAGGTAATGGATATTTTACTGCACTCAGTAGTGGGCAATACGTAGGTTACAACGGTAATGGAAATCCCATGTCTATTGGCGCCGGGGCCTTAAGTTCGCTTCATACATTTAATATCAAGTCTTTTGTGGCTGCTGCAGCCTGGAACAATCATTTGGAGTTGTTAATCATTGGTGAACGATCGGGAGTGAGTGTTCACAGCAAAACAATTACACTTCAAACAAAACTGGCGACCACTATTATCTTAGATTGGAATAGTATTGACAAAATTATATTCAGAACATATGGGGGTATCGATGCGAACCTTGGTGGAAATGGTTTGCACTTTGCAATGGACAATTTATGTATAACTGCAGGGTATGTCTCTTTTTAAAAGAACGTCTGTCACGCAGTTATTAGTGTTGTTGACATGTTTTCATTGTAGTACTCAAGAACGTATAGAACTACTCTATAAATGCGACTACTGGGGTGATCCACAACTGATTCAGTTTCCAAAAGCCACCGGTAGCACAGTTACAAGCACATGGTGTCAAATTACTGGTGCTTCTGTACTTTACCGAAGTTCGTATGTTTTAATTAATGTTGTCAATTCTGGCTCATCAAACGGAGATATTGTCACTAGTGTAAGTAAGAATATGGTTAAGTAGATACTTGTGATTTCTAGCTGCATTTTATATAAAAACTTTCCTAGTTTGACATGACACTTTATGATTCGAATAACATTCCACTCTGCACTTTGACGCCAAGTGATGTCACAGGAACTCCTCGTTCTTGTGGACCAGGTAAATATGATCTTAATCTTTAGTTACTTTTGTTTTATTAAACTGATTGGTGACATAGATGTAACAATTTCAAAAACAGGATCCGACTTAAATGTTGCATATAAAAAGGCACCATTTAGTGCTTGGATAAAGTACAGTGTAAGTGATAAAATAAAAATGCTGTCTTTCATAATTCTTTTTTCTGTATATCTCTTTAGTCCTGGGGAGGTGGTCATTATACATTCACTTTGTTTGCTACATTAAAACATATCAATGAAGTTGGGACGACAGGCATGTGTGTTAAAGGATGCACGGGCAAACGAGAAGCACCTCAGATGATAATAACAGATTCTACAACTGACAAAGAAATTGTAATAAGTGCCATGGCTGATAGTGTTTGTGATACTTTCATGAAACAAGCAACACAACAAGCGTTACGAGATGATCTGGTCGTCGAAACAACACCAGGATACATTGAGGCTGTACGAAGGGCTTGTATTATTGATGTAACTGTGACAGGAAGTACTCAAGTAATGAAAACTTTTCTTTTCTCAAATATTTAGCAATTCGTTCTTTTTTAGTTCGCAGAACAATCCGTAAATAATGTTATCACTGATATTTTGACACATACGGGCGAAATCAAAATTGAAGAGATTAATAATATAATACAAAATACAACACAGATCGCAGTAGAAACGATAAACCAAGTCGCAACAGAAGTTGAAACAATGATTGAAGGAAGCACATGGCCATGCCAACCAGATGTACCTGTTTGTATAATGCCGTTTTTACTCCGACAAAAATTTGCAAAGATCGGAAAATAAACTTTATGCTACACTAAAACTCTATATATTTTAATCAAGAAAATGAATTTCATATGCTTAGGAGTACCCAGATTAGCGACTGAGGTACTTTATTTTCGCAGAGAAGGCTTGAGAAAATTTTCTTCTTTTATAAAATGACAGAGAGAACGAAGCTCTATTTTTTTTGTGCTATTTCATTCTTATTCAACTATTATTAAAACAATAAAATTTCGTCAAAAAACTTCGTTTGTGTAAAATATAACTACAAATGACGCTTGTCATCTATATTCGTTTGAACCTCAACTGAATCTATTAAAATGCTGTTTTAAGTTGTGGAATTAGTTAATTACAATATAAGATGGATTCTTGTATACCTGTTACAATTCTGTTGTGATGATCTATAATATGATAGTCATTTTGAGGCTGGGTGTGGCTGTAGATGACGAGTATCCGACTTTAAATTTAGCACATACACACTCAGCCCCATCTACTATTAAATTCTCTTGGATTTCTTAAATTCTGTAGTGAAGTTTGCATACTTTGTATCAGTCAATATTTGTAACCAGTTATATGATTTATTGACTTCTCTTACAATCGTCTACAAGAAAATTTTATGATATATTCAAGAAAGTATTTTCTTATCAGTCAAGCGAAATGCAAATATACATTTGATGATAGCAATAATATAATAAAACCAACATTATGTATTATGCTTATTTGTTTGATACTAGTTATCCAATCGTTTAAAAGAACTATGAGCCTTCATTTGTTTTTGTTTATAACAAATCAGTACATCAACACTCTTGCTCTGAATAGTTTTGATGATGTAGAATTCTCATCGTCAAAATGCATTTCAAGTATGTGAGTGTGGATGTGGATAAGGATGAAATCATATATATGATTGAGACTCACATCAATACTGACAGCCCATCCATACGCACACCTACGCACATACCCACCCACACCCTCATAAACACACTGTCGTTTAGTGGCATCTATTATAAATCAATTTATTCATTGGTTCATGTTGTCTACTCATTCTTTGGGTTTTTTCCCAGTTCTTCATTCTCCCTTTAATATAAAGAGCTGTGTGCGTACGGTAAAAAACTATTTGATATAAAAGAATAAAAACCTGACTGAAGTGTAACCATAAGGTAAGTGATCTAGAACTGATTGATTAAATTGTATACTAGTAATATACTTCATTATAACAAAGTAATATGTCGAAATTACTTTTCAAGCTCATATTGCTCAGACTCCACACCTTCGATGAGAAAATTGTATTTAGTCTATTGGATAAAACAAAACTAAATTAGTAATACTCTTTTAATTATATCTGATAAGAAGATCTCAACTACGTAATAAATAGTAAGAAACTATCTTAATGGTGTGTTAAAGTGATTGATATTATATATTCGTACATATCATCAACGACGATTTAGTATATGATTCTATTTCTCTTCTAAGATAAAAAAATTAATAGAAAATATAGAACGATGTTTCTCGATCGTGAAGTTGCAAGAAGACTTTTAGTGATGTTTAATTTTTGACCTTTCCTCCTTTACAGATTCGTTTTTGAAAAACATGCCCGGTAAAAAAGTTGTAGTTCATACTTTTCTTTTTCCTTCAAAAAGAAATTTGATTCGTTTAAAGGTCGATAATATGGCTTAATAGGCCTAAAATATTTTTCAAGACTTTTGCATCGCATTTTAATGCAATATTGTTGAATATTTAGACAGTGAAAGATAACAAGAAATAGCTTGAGCGATTTTAAATACAGTAGTTTACAGCTGATTTAACGATCAATGGATATCAAGAATCAAATACAAACAGTCTTAGGTGAAGTACGTTCCAGTGGTGATTATTGTGGCGGTGGAAAACTTGATATTGTTCCACCCAATATTGTAATTAACAATATAGGGCCACTTAATTTTCCATTAGATGAACAACAGGCCAAGAATATAATTAACAATTGTCAATTAGCACCATTTGGGCTTCGCGATAAAACTTTGTACGACACCAGAGTGAGTTTAAACGAAAGAGTTTTCGTTGTAAGTGCTATGTAAATTTTAGGTTCGACATACATGGCAACTTGAACCGCATGCCTTGCAATCCGATGTTTCACTATGGCCTTCTCAAACGATAGTCGACTTGAAAGTAAAAGTTATCAATGATCTTGGATTACTGACAACTGAGGACGAAATTGAAATTGAATTATACAAAGTATTGCTTTATGAACGAGGTAGTTTTTTCAAAACACATCGAGACACGGAGAAAAAGGATGGCATGTTTGCTACTTTACTCATCATTCTACCATCTTTTTATACTGGTGGAGAATTAGTTGTACGGCATCAAAAACGAGAAAAAAAGTTTAATTTTTGTGGCGACTCAGAAAATATTCATTATGCTGTATTGTATGCTGATTGCGAGCATGAACTATTACCAGTGATTGATGGATATCGTCTTGTTCTTGCTTACAATGTTGTTCTATTGCCAAAATCTAGTAATCAGCAAGTTGTCGAATCGAGATGTAACACAGTTTTTAATAATCGTCTTCGTGAGATATTCGCTTCATGGTTGGAAATGGTAACGAACAACAACAATAATAATGATAAAGTTTCAAGAAAACTTATTATTCCACTCGATCATGAATATACACAAGCAAGTATGAAAAATGGCCCTCTGCTGAAAGGAAAAGATGTAATGACAGGAGAAATTATTCGATATGCTTGTGAGAGTCATAGCGATCAATTATTACTCTTTTGTGTAATGTTAGAACGAAATGAAGATACCAATATAATAATCAAATACTATGAGCCATTTGGTGATCTAAGCAAAGTTTTTATGGACTACTGTAAAATTTTAGGCTTAGAAAATCAAGAAAGAACGCCTATCTCAAGCATCGATCTACTGGATGAAAATATCTGGAATAAACTCAAATTGAAATCTTCTGAGGGGTCCTGGACAGGTATGTTAATAATCTAATTTTCTGATAATAATCTTGCTATATATATATAAATATTTTATCATAGGGAATGAAGCAGAATATAGTTGCTACTGGTACAATTTGAGCGCACTTTTACTTCTTCCTCATACAAATCGTCACGATCTTATTTTTTGTCCATCTCTAGAGAATGGCAAATTTGTGTACAATATGAGCAATGCGTTGTGGACAGTTCTACGGAAACTAAAAAGTTGTAAACCTGTGGAAGATAATACCAATATAACATCCGCAGCTCTGGATTTAATAACTGATGGAATTAAAAAATCTGGAATTGAGATAACGCATCATTTTCGTATTCCATTGCTTCAATGTCTCGTTGCTATTTCTGTCTTAAACCAAATGAATGAAAAAGTAATTAATACTGTCAAAAATTTAGCTGAACAAACCTTACTGGTTAAAGCATTTTTCTCGGTATTTTCTGATTCACAGCATATAATGTATGAAAGAATGGCAGAAGTTCTTTTCGATGCTGGTAATTTTTTCGGTTGGACTGTCATTGCTGATCAAATTGTATGTCTTTTCCGCGAAGAAATACAATCAGAGAAGTATTTATCAGAAAGCTTTTTGGAAGAGAAAATCGATCGCATTGCCTATTTTCTTTCCACATTTATATCTTTGATAAAAACCAAACGGTAAGAAAACTGTTATTCTTTTGAACTTAATTTATTTGTATATTCAAGATTTAATTCTTGAATTTTTATTTTTAAAAAAACTACTGATGTTTTGATTATTGATATAGGAGTGATCAAGCAAATCAATTAAATGGAAAAGAAACAGCAGCATTACAGCATGTGTTGTCTCAGATGATCAAAATTTTCTCAACAATTGTCATTCAAGTCTTACAACAAATTATTTCAAACCAGCAAAAACAAGGTGAAAGTCAACGAAAATCTGAGCGTAGTCAGTGGTATTACAATCGTAGAAAGCCTACGTTTACTATCAAAAGTCTGTGCTCGTTTCTCAAAGTGATAAGGATGGTTGATATGGATTCAGATACGAATCAGTCATTGAGCAGTATACTGTATAATATACAAATACTTATTGATCATGATTGTACCAATGGCTATCGATCCATTGACTCTGAGTATGAAACAACTGCTGACAGTATGATAAAATATATCATTAATAATGAAATCTTTCCATTTCTGAAAGAAATCTATCCTTGTCAAGCTTTCTGGTATCCTATTTTAATCAACTTTTGTAGAACTACGATTCAGTCAAAACTCGAAGCTCTACAAGTGGACATAGACAAAGCACATGCTGTCTTTCAAAATGTACGCTTACCTTGCTCATGCATTGACTGCCAACATATCAAAAGGTTTCTTCAAGATTCAACTTTATACGAATATAATTGTAGTCAATATCGGAAGCAAACTCATGTTTATTCTTCGATTAAAAAGCTTGATCTACCAGTGCTTTGGAATGGGGACAAATTTATAAAAAATATCAAGTTATACAACAATTACAAGAAATATAATGAACTATTGAAAAAACTGATAGAACTTGATCGTTAATAACTCGTAAAAAGTCTGAATCATAGACGGCCGAGCCATTAGACTTGGGAGGCTAAACTCGATGAATGTTTTTGTCAAAGTTCCCAGTGTTTTAATAAAAAACTAAATAAAGTATTTTTTTCATAACAAAGATCAGAAAATTAAGGTATAGATGTGGGTGTGGATTCATCTTCTGTTTACCCACGCTCAACATGGTGTAGATGAAGATGCGAGATTAATGTATCAGCCACAAACACAAGTCCATAAGTGAATATCAGCAGGAATACTCGAAACAGCTGATAACTTTCACTACGTTCTGTTAGTAAGTAGTGATGAAAATTTACGAATTTATGAAATTGTTCAATCATCCAGAATCTGTCTTCATCAATAAATATTTTGTTATCCTGCAGATATCGTTTTCATACAAAGAAAAAATTAAAATAACATTGTTTTTGAGAATACAAGTATCTTTATTCTCTTTCCTGCTTCAGTCATTTAGCGACACCACTGAATTGTCAGTTTCATAAAATATATTCATTTTTTTACAATTAATTAAATGAATTCCGGGGAAAACTCATACCCATTTATCGTTGAAGTTTGTATGAATTTTAGTTCCGAAACATTCACTTATTATATATTATCATCATCAATTAGTTTTGATATAATATCTCGAGGGTGAGATAGGAAGTTTCAAACAGTGTTTCATCGTTATGTTTGAATTAATATCAATGCATTCTATTAATATTCGGATAACACTTTGGCAGAATTTTCAGAAAATTTATTTCTTTGAAATAATGTAGTACAAAAATAACGATCTTCGTAATCAGCTAGTTAAATAAGAAAATATTTCGTAACTACGAGTAAAACATTCTTTGTATCTTGTTGATATCAGGAAAGCACAATTATTCATATTAAAAATATCTTTTCTTTTCTTTTTTTTTCTTTCTTTAGTTTTAAAAAATCTTTTTCTTTTGAGAAAGAGATTTCATCAAATTAAATACACAACACTTTTTTACTTTACTTTGAACAGAAAAAAAAATCTTTTTGGTAAGTACTGACTTTTGTATATCTTAGAAAAAACAATCCTGATTCTTTTAGATCATCATGAAGACTATCGAATGAAAATTTCTAGACAAAAAATATTCATATTGAAAAACAGCAGAAAATTTTTTGGAAAAAATAAATAATCAGATATCCGAAGGTTTTGTTTATTAAGAACTGCAGAAAACTATCATATATCTTGGCTAAATCATACTTCTCTGTACAATTTCTCTGGAGATAGATGAATATTTTTTCATATATTCTTTTTATTATTTGAAAGAAAAAAATATAATTACACAAATGAGATTTTTTTTTGTAGTTAAACTATATATTTGTGATATATCACATAATAAATCGATGTTTAATATTATTATAATCATGATTTTTTAATCTAAATTCTTGTATAAGTTCACTATCGTTAAATATCTCTTAATTTTCAATAAAAATAATCAAAATGTTATATTTGTCCTTACTTTTTCTTTTTTTAATTTTTAATTTCCGAGTAGACAAACCGACAACGATGAGAGAAGAAAATAGAATCATCATCATTAACATGATGCTATGAAGTCGAGCAAAAGAATATTTTTTTTTCCAAAAATTCGAGAAACTTATAGTTACATCACTGTATGTATTATTTCTTACGTTTTACAATTAGCTAAATACAAAGAAAAACACTAATTAGAATTTATTTTTTGAATTATCTTAAAAAATACGCATTCGACTTGATATTATAAGTAAAAAAATTAGAAAACGATGATTTTCTCTTACATAAATAGAATTATATCATGAGAGACACCATATTTTATTTGAAAAATGTAAGAAAGAATAGTTTTTTAATTGTACAAAATTGTTGCAGAATATGGAAGTTATTTATAGAAAATGCAGAAAGAAAATTTTTTCCTTATTACGATATTAAAAATAAGTAAAACGTCAAGACGTTTACTCTAAAATTATTTCTTCATGTTAGTTGAAGTCACTTTCAATGTCCTTTTTCTTCTTTTGATGATTCAGCGAAAACAAAAATAGAAAAGATTACATTTTAAATTAAATAACTAGTTGGAATATATTCTCAATTAAGAAATTGCAGAGATGCAGATTCTACAGAAGTAAAGTTTAATTATTTCAATTGAAGAAAAATATATATTGGAATACGTTGAAAAGATGGATTTTCTTGTATTGATATATACGAGTTAAATACAAATATTTGTTCATATTCTCTTTCTCATAGAGAAGAGTGCACCAAAAATAAACTGTCTGCTGGCAGATTCACTTTTCACTGCTTGGTCGAAGAATATCGACCATACATGTATGTTCTATTGAATTATGTAATGACTAATTCAATAGTAAGTATTAATTAAATTAATAATTTTTGTTTTTCTTTGTAGATTATTTATATCGATCAAACGAACAGCAAATAATTCTTCTTTTTTAAAGCAAATTTCATTTTTTATGTTTAGGTTATCTATAATAATAAATCGGCTAGTAAGTATTAATGCATTTAAGTAAATTTTGTTTGCTTTCTTTTTAGATTATTGTCAAAGATAAATCCAACAGCAAGTATAAATTAAAATAAATGGGCTGTTCAGCCTTGTCAGAGGATCCGGTTTTCTTATTCAATATTTATGATATATGAAAACATAATTGCTATACGAATAGTATAGCTTCTAAAAACATTATATCTTCTTGATGTATTACAGAGTCTGCATTAAAAAAAAACAGTTAGAACCTTCGGTCAGACTAGACATTACAAATATTAGTTTTTATATTTTTTGAAGAGTGATAAGGAGCGAGGGTGTACAAAAGGTTTATGGGGATGCGATAACAAGTTCCATTCCTTTTAAATAAACAGATCATTTTCTATCCCGTATTATCTAGCGTATAAATACAATCCTTAAATTTGTGTTCCACTAACTGATCGTGTCATCATTTTTACGTATGCGGCACTACTTACGAGAAAACCTCCCGAGGTATCAAAAAGCTTTTTAGCCGCAATTTTGCCCACAAGTAGGGGATCCATAGACTAGGACAAGCCTAGAAGAATAGGGGCTCACAGGCCTTTCTTCCCGAGTTACGGTCATTTTAGTGCATTTTTCAAATATGACAAGATATTCATGAAAAAATCTACTTACAGAGTTTGGGTCTGAAACTTTGCCTACATATGGGTCTTATAACCCTTATCGTAGCCTAAAAGTTTCAATCAAAACTTATGTTTCTTTCACGAAATGTTTAGCTTTCATAAAGCCCTCTTATGTTACATACGTATCAAGAAGATCGACTTTTCTTGAATACCCCGTATTTCGTGAAAGAAACATAAGTTTTCACTGAAACTTTTAGGCTACGATAAGGGTTATAAGACCCATATGTAGGCAAAGTTTCAGACCCAAACTCTATAAGTAGATTTTTCTATGAGTATTTTGTCATATGTGAAAAATTCACTAAAATGATCGTAACTCTGGCAGAAAGACCTATGGACAAAATATCAGCTTAAAAGCTGTTCATCACTTCCGGTACTTCCCTCGTACGACTATATGAGATGAAGAACACTTTGTAAAAGACAACTTACTGATTGATGTGAAGATATCTAATTTTATCCGTTTACAGTCATATAATGAACTGTTTCGTACAACCTAATTTTTCATCCAATATCACTATTCATAAATATGAAACTGAATTATATTTTAGATATTCAACATGATATTGTTTGGTTTTCGCAATATTTGGTTGTTTCTACTGATTTTTGGGCAAACATCAGGTAAGAACTCGATAAACTTAGTGTAGTCATCTTTCATCAAAAATAGATATGTCCGGACACGTTATTATAATCTTTATAAAAACCTTCGAGTTATTTTCTAACCGAGAAGTTATCATATCTAGAAATTAGCTATTCCTTTGTATGTAACATACATATTCCCAGAGTTTTCTCTCAGGTTTCAATCAGAAGCATAAGTGCAAAATTCTGAGTTAATGATGATCATTATTATTCGAATTCTATTTCATAGTTCCATGCTTTTTCATAGGCATTTCATACAATCAACCAAAACTTTGTGCAAATGCAACGTGGAATCAGACGGCTATAACTTTTGTCCCAAGTCCTACGGTTGGTACATATCCTTTAGGCATGTTTGTCGATAGAAATAACAGTGTCTATGTCGCTGATCAAACGAATGGGAGAATTCAAGTGTGGCGTAACGGAAGTACCATACTTACAGGCAATTACTCTGGTGGCTTATCCTGGCCTTATAGCGTTTTCGTTACGGACAATGGTGATGTTTATGTTGACAATGGCTACACATATTATCGGGTTGATAAATGGGGATGGAATTCAACAAGCAGTGTTCCAGCAATGTATGTGTGTGGACAATGCTACGGTCTTTTTGTCGATATCAATAATATGCTTTACTGCGTAATGGGTCCGTATCATCAAGTTGTCTCAAAGTCATTGGACTCACGTTTAAATGTATGGAATATTGTTGCTGGTACAGGCACAGCTGGATCAACATCGGTTACACTTAATACTCCTTGGGGAATGTTTGTTGATATTAACTTGAATTTGTATGTAGCTGATACTTTAAACAATAGAATTCAAAAATTTGCATCAGGACAATCGAATGGAACAACAATAGCAACAGGAACCATTGTATTATCTGCTCCAACTTCAGTTATATTTGATGCTGATGGATATATGTTTATTAGTGATTGTTGGAATCATCGTCTTGTTGGCTCAGGACCTAATGGATTTCGATGTATAGCGGCATGTTCTGGATATGGTTCGTCATCCAGTCAATTATATTATCCACATACCATGTATTTTGACAGTTATGGAAATATATTTGTCACCGATGAATACAATAACAGAATACAAAAATTTCTTTTGTTACCAAATTCATGTAGTAAGTTAAAACTAATTCACTCATATGTAAAACGATACATTATTAGGAATATGTGATTATAGTTAGAAGCGTTAATTTCGTGTCTTAAAAAAATATAGTAACCTTTTATAAAATAGAAGAAAAGATATATCTAGACATCAACATGTTCAAAAACGCACAAAAAGTGTAAACTCCAAATATCTATCACAAATTTATATTATAATATAAAATTGTATTTCTATTTATAGATGGAACGACAACAGTAACAACTGTGGCCACGGGTATTTTCAAATAATTTCTTATTGACTTATTTTTTTACTAATAGTTTATATTTGTTTTTAATAGTTACTTCAATGAATAATACTCAATCAGTTTCTTTAACAACAACTGTTTCTGGAATAAGTTCTGCAACTGCACCATATTTAAACCGTATGTAATCATTTAATAAAATAGAAATTTTGTTTTTGAGTAGTTCGATTATTTATAAAATAATTTCAAAAGAGTAATAGAAAATAAATAAACTCAGTCTCTGATAATGTCTTTATAAAGAGAAAAAGGGTTTTAATTCGAGTTCTACTTCAAAAAAATTGAGGGTGTCGATGTAGATGTGTAATGGGTGGGTGTATCTTTGATAAATATGAAATTAATGATTATCTGTTTTTTTGTAGCTATTTCATACAATATACCGAAATTCACTGCGTATACTACTTGGAGCTCCAATGGAATAACTTTAGCAGACAGCACCCTGGTCGGAACATATCCTTACAGTATATTTGTTGATAATAATAACACGGTATATGTAAGTGAGTATTCTTTAAATCGTGTTCAAGTGTGGCGTGAAGGTAGTAGCAAACCGACAAGAAATATCTCCGGTAATTTAAATACTCCATGTTCTATTTTTGTTACGAGTAATGGTGATATTTATGTCGATAATGGTTATGCAAATAGTCGAGTGGATAAATGGGCATTGAATACAACAAACAGTACTGTGGTAATGAACGTCAAAAGCACCTGTTATGGTCTTTTTATCGATATTAATAATAATATTTATTGTACACCACTTAATTATCATCAAGTTAATATGAAGTAATTGAATAGTAATTCAAATATATGGACAATGGCTGCTGGTACAGGTTGTGCTGGATCAACATCAAATACGCTTCATGATCCTCGTGGAATCTTTGTTGACACAGATCTTAATTTGTATGTTGCTGATTGTACCAACAATAGAGTGCAAAAATTCCTATCACAACAAGTAAATGGAATAACGCTAGCAGGAACTGGAGCAACTGGAACTATTAGTCTTAGCTGTCCTACTGGAATTGCTCTGGATGCTGATAACTACGTATTCATTGCGGATTATTTTAATAATCGTATTGTTGGATCAGGACCAAACGGGTTTCGTTGTGTATTAGGATGTACAAATGTTGCTGGTTCAGCATCTAATCAAATATATTATCCATCCAGTTTAAGTTTCGATAGTTACGGTAATATGTTTGTTGCTGATAGATACAACAATCGGATTCAAAAGTTCATTGTAATTAATACTACTTCTGGTAAATATAATAAAATCTTTTTCTTTTATGATTAGACAACTAAGACAAAACATTTTAAAGCTAAAATCTAATACAGAAGAGATTTCGCTTAATCAATGAATCTTGCTTATTGTGTATCAAAAATAAATCGTGAAATCTTTCCAGGTGATTCAGTCCGAGTAGTCAGTTTCGGTGTTAAGATCTACTAATAATTTCATTAACAAGAATATCTTTGTATTATCAGAAAGTGTCCCATGTTTTGAAAAGAGATGGAGGAGTTCTCAGTATTTTTAAATTGCGCTCCATCTGATAATAAACCTCTCACGTATTCTGGAGTTTTAATTTCAAAACTTAACTTTTCGATTGTATTTTCATAACCTTTATCTCAACAACGAGTACATATAATAGTAAATCTAGCTTTGATACAAATGCCAAATTTCAAGATTCACCTGTCGGATTGAGTCTTCTGTATAATGATAATTTGATTAAAACAAAATTTCAAAATATAACATTTCTTAATTCAATCCAAAGAGATTTTCATCTTATTTTAGATTTGACTGCTAATCAACCAAATTTGTGTCCATCTACAACATGGTATACAAATGCTATTACTGTCGCTAATATTACCACCGTTGGTTATCAACCTTTTGGTCTTTTTATTAGTACTAGCAATACTCTCTACGTAGCGGATATACAAAACAGTCGCGTTCAAAGGTGGCTAGAAGGAAGTGTGAATCCTGATAAAACTATTTCTGGTGGTTTATATCAACCTTTAAGTGTTTTCGCTACAGCTTCGGGCGACATATATGTCGACAATGGGGTCAGTAATGGTCGAATCGATAAATGGTCCGTAAATGCAAATAGTAGTGTTCCTTTTATGACAATTCCCAATTACTGTGTTAGTATTTTTATTGACATTGAAAATACTTTGTATTGTTCAGTACCTAGCAATAATCAAGTTGTTAAGAAATGGTTATATGATAACATGACTACATCAACTATTGTTGCTGGTACGGGTACTGCGGGATCGGCTGCAAATATGCTTAATGCACCTTATGGACTCTTTGTTGATACTGATATTAATTTATATGTTGCAGATTGCTCCAATAACAGGGTGCAACTTTTTCCTTTAGGGCAGTCAAATGGAATAACCGTAGCTGGGAGCGGAGCACCATCAACTATTACGCTTAGTTGTCCAAATGGAATTACATTGGATGCTAATAGTTATCTCTTCATTGTGGATCAAAACAGTCATCGAGTTGTTGGATCAGGACCATATGGTTTTCGATGTTTATTTGGATGTACAAGTGTTGCCGGTCCAGCATCTAGCCAGTTATATTATCCACGAACTCTCAGTTTTGATAGTTATGGAAATATTTTTATCGTTGATCAATATAATTCAAGAATTCAGAAGTTCATTGTAGCGTCAAACTCATGTAGTAAGTTATTTTTAGTTTATGTTTTCAATAATCTCAATTTATTTATTTCAGGTCTATCTTATAGTCAACCAACATTTTGCTCAAATGCAATATGGTCTCCAAATGCCGTAACTTTTGCATCAAGTAGTACAATTGGTACATTACCTTATGGTATTTTTATTGATGGAATTAATACTGTATACATACCTAATCGAGTTACTAACACTATTTTATCATGGCCTCAATGGAGTACTTCATCAACAAGTAAAAGTTATACTAATTTGAGTAATCCATTTAGTCTTTTCATGTCTATTAATGGTGATACTTATATTGATAATGGTTACTTATATGGTCGAGTCGATAAATATACATTTAATACATCAAATCGCGTTACTGTTATGAATATTAATGGAAGTTGTTATGGTTTATTTATTGATATTAATAATAATCTTTATTGTTCACTTAAAAATCTTCATCAAATTGTTAAACTCTTACTTAATAATGGTACAACCATCCCGACAATTGCAGCCGGAAACAGTTCTGCTGGATCACTATCAAATATGCTTAATTCTCCTCAAGGCATCTATGTTGATAATAATTTAAACCTATACATCGCGGACAGTGCTAACAATCGTATTCAATTTGTTCAAGCTGGTCAGTTAGATGGAGTGACAATCGTTGGTAATGGATCATCGGCAAATATTACACTCAACTATCCAACTGGAATTGTCCTTGATGCTAATGGTTATCTTTTTATTGTCGATAGTTACAATCATCGTATTATTGCTTCAAGTTATTATGGTTTTCGATGTATAGTAGGATGTTCAGGAGGTGGTTCATCTGCATCTCAATTATCATTTCCACAAAGTATGGCTTTTGATAGCTATGGAAATATATATGTTACTGATCAAAATAATAATCGAGTGCAACAATTCGCTCTTCAAAATAACAGCTGCAGTAAGTTTATTTGTATATAACGGAGCATTATGAAGTTGTAGTTGATAATTAGTTTTTTGCGACTATTATGTCAAAAGTTGACAGAAATCAGATAAAATGTTGCTTGAGTTATTTGCTTTCCTACTAGTGTTTTTAGTACAACAGCCCTTCTAATTTGACTGAATAAAGCACAATTGTTTTATATTTCAGTAATACCGACCACCACCACTACTACTACTACCAGCAGCAGCAGCAGTACCACAACCAGCACTACTACTACCACCACTAGCAAGACTACAAGCAGTAGCAGTACCACGAGTACCACTACCAGTACCACCAGTAGCACTACTACTACTACAACCAGTACCACAAGTAGCACTACCACTAGCAGTACTACTACGAGCAGTAGCAGTACCACCAGCAGCACGACTACTACGACCACCAGTACGACAAGTAGTACTACCACTACCACCACCAGTACCACAAGCAGCAGTACTACAAGTAGTACCACTACTACCACCAGTAGTACCACTACGAGCAGTAGCAGCACTACAAGTAGCAGCACGACGAGTAGTAGCAGTACATCAAGTAGCACGACCACGAGCAGCAGCAGTACCTCAAGTAGCACTACTACTACGACCACCAGTACCAGTACCACTACGAGCAGCAGTAGTACCACAAGTAGCACTACTACTACCACTAGTACTACAACAAGTAGCAGCAGTACCACAAGTAGCACTACTACCACGACCACCACTAGTAGTACCACTACGAGCAGTAGCAGTACCACAAGTAGCAGTACAACGAGTAGTAGCAGTACTTCAAGTAGTACTACCACGAGCAGCAGCAGTACCTCAAGTAGCACTACTACTACCACTACCACCACAAGTACTACAACAAGTAGCAGTAGTACTTCAAGTAGCACTACTACTACTACTAGCACTACAACAAGTAGCAGCAGTACCACAAGTAGCAGTACAACGAGTAGTAGCAGTACTTCAAGTAGTACTACCACGAGCAGCACTAGTACTTCAAGTAGCACAATTACCACGACCACCAGTACTAGTACCACTACGAGCAGCAGTAGTACTTCAAGTAGCAGCACTACTACAACCACCACCAGTAGTACCACAAGTAGCACTACCACTACCACTAGTGCTACAACAAGTAGCAGCAGCACTACAAGTAGCACCACTACCACGACCACCAGTACCACGACCACCAGTACCAGTACCACCACGAGCAGTAGCAGCACCACCAGTAGCAGTACTTCAAGTAGTACTACCACCACCACTAGTAGTACATCAAGTAGCACCACTACAAGCAGCAGCAGCACCTCAAGTACTACTATTACTACCACCACCACCAGTAGTACCACTACGAGCAGTAGCAGCACCACAAGTAGCAGTACAACGAGCAGTAGTAGTACCACAAGTAGTACTACCACTACCACTAGCAGTACTTCAAGTAGCACGACATCCATTACAACTCCTCAAGGATCAAGTATCCATCAAAGTAATAATATAAATAGTATAGAAAATAGTGTATTGATTTTTTTTCTAAATTAGGTTGCTATTCGCCGACGATTACATTGATTCCTGGACAATCATCTTTATCATCTCCAATAACATATCGACGTAGTCAAGATTTTTCTATTAGTTCAATGATTCAATTTAATTGTAATGGTTCACTTTCAACAACTAAAAAATGGATAATCAAAAATTGTACATCGATTTGTTCATTTCAAATTCAACTAAATAGCAAAATCAGTACAACATTAAGTGAACTTTATATTCCATCAAGAACATTGGATTATGGAATTTATGAATTAACATTAACTGTTACAATGATTGAATCACTTAATCTTAAAACTTCATCTTCAGTTTATGTAAGAGTAACTGCAACAGGTATAACAGCAAATCTCGTTCAATTAGGAACATCAATGATAACACGTGGTAGTCAACAAGATCTTCAACTTGATCCTGGAGCATATTCTGTTGATCCTGATCAAGATTCATTTGATGCGAGTGTAAGTATTATTTATCCCTGATTGATTATAAAATAGATTATATTAGATGAGACTATAATGCATTAATTTTACTTTAATATAGTGATATGAGTAAAACCATGAATAGTAGAAATCAAGTCTGACAAGGTGATCATATGAATATATCTAATGACCCAAAAGATCGTAAATAATAGAAATTGTTTTGAAAGTATGGAGTGTAATGGTCAGATTCTTAGCGAGATCAATAGATATTCTATTTGATTAATTCTTATCATTTTACAGATATTTTAATAAATCTGTTTTTGTTTAATATAGAAATGGAAATATGAATATTATTGTCGAATTTATGGTCCATACAATTTTCCAAATTTTCAAGGTATATTATTAACAATTGAAAATTCCAAGACTGATCCTTATAATCCATCATGTTTATCAAATCAATCAGGTAATGTTAATTCTTGCTAGTTTAATATATCGAAATTAAAGAAACTTGTAATTAAACAGGACTCATATTCGGAAATTTAACTGCATCACCTGATTCATCTCTAACAGTTCTCGGTGGTTCACTTCAATCAAATCAAATGTATCAATTTATGGTCTATATGGAAAATCGTAAAAATTCATCTATTCAAGCTACAGGTTATGTACTTGTTACAGTTGACGATACTCATCCACAATTAATTGTTATTGGGTAAATAAATTTTTTTATCTACTTAAATCTTAAAAAGAAACCTGTTGAATTTAGTTGTGTTATATCAATATTATGTGTTCCAAATCTTGAATATCAATTTGTTAATCCAACAACACAAGTTGCACTATTTGCTATTTGTGTTGGAACTTGTACAAATCTTCAAAATATAAAATGGAATATTTATCAAGGATCTGATAACTCATCTTCAAACTATACACAATGGACTTTATTTAATAACACGGTTCTATATGAAAATATTTGGTTTTTTGGTAGAAATCTTCTTATGATCTAAGAAATATTTATATTAATTTGCTTTTTTATAGGTAAAAATACAAGTAATTTTACAGCTACAAATCAATTATTTCTCAATAATCCTCAGATAAATCTTTGGCGATTTGAAGTTGTTTATACATTTCTATCTGTAACAAGTACAAGTGCATTAAATTTTATTATTAATCAACCTCCTTATAATGGTTCATGTTCAATCAATCCGATGAATGGTACAACAACTACTTTGTTCACTATTTTATGTCCAGATTGGTATGATGAAGATGGAATTAAAGACTATTCATTATACGGTATGCTTATTTTTTTATATAACAAAATTACAAAATTGTTCGTGTAGTATTGATCTAGATCTTCCTTCTGTTAACGTTGATGATGATATTAAGGAAAAAAGTTCAGACACTTGATTAGTATCTAGAGATGTGAATGTCTTTTACTTATCTCACACGTATATCATTTATGACTCGCAAATGATCCTTATACCTTCACAGATCGATCGTAATAGAGATAGACCTCGTAGTTTTAACTTTGTAATCATATTAAAGAATAAGGATGTATTTTTCACTCATTTTATTCCGAAATATTGAACAAAATATAGATTTTCGTAGATCTAGAATTTAATTCATACTATAGAAATTATTTCATCTTTTAAATTTTGATCCTAGAGAAAGTATGTTAATCGATTTTCTTCTAATTTAAGCATGGACGACAGATGTATCGCAAAAATTAATGATTGCATATTCATCAGTATCTTATTTTCAAGTTCGATTACCAAGTGGAGACAATCAAACATCATTACTCAATATTGTTATTTCTATTCGTGATCTACTTGATTGTGTTGTTGAAGTAAACATGTCTTCTGTACATGTTATCGTGGATTATATAACAACCAATGATTTATTAAAAAGTCTACAAAGTTCATCAAGTGTATTAACAAATAATCTGATTGTTCAATTACTTTCAAGTGGAAATCAAAATATTGTGGGACAAATTATTACTGCAATCGCTCAACAATTCAATCAAATGAATACTGAAACTATAGATCAAGCTATTTCAAGTAATTATTAACATTTGGTTTACTATAGATAATCCAAATAATCTTTTTCGTAGGTGGAATACCAGCTGCAACTATTTTAGTATCATCATTAGGAAGTTCAAGTTTACAAGAAGTAAATAAATTGAATCGAATTGAATTGCATAGATTTTATTTAATTTTAATATAGAATTCAACATCTTTCAATGACTCGGCTTTGACTGAATATAATAAAATATTAAATGCTCAAGCAAACCTTCGGGATTATTTAATGACATTTACAAGTGATCTTCTTATAACAACATCAAATAGTATCAAATTACAATCAACAGCATTAGCCCAAATAACTCAATCAACAAATCAATTAACAAGAGCTGCTCTAGTACTATCAATAAAATCATTTTTTAGGATTATATAATTTTGTATAATTCTAGTCCATTGCATCAGATAGATGTTATCAATTATCACTTGCTTTATCCTCAATGGCAACACAAATTCCATATGAAGATGCTCAAGTAGCAGCAAATCAATTAATACAATGTGCTTCAAATGTCTTAACCGTAAACTTCAGATTTTTAAATAATGTTCTATAAAACGTGATTTTTTGTACAGCTGAATTTCGCTAAGTGTAGGAAGACCGAAAACTCAACAGATATAGAAAATTTTAAATATCTCCGTCTTTCGAGTCGATACTTTCATTACTGAAAAAGAAATATTCGTATTTCTTGTTAGCAAGAGACACGTTCTTAGAGCGATTTTTGATAATGTTTCTTTTATGAATATCAGGTATTTTGAGAAGAGCTATTTCATCGTTTGTTAATCTGTCGAATTATGATTAATTAATTTAGGCTGTAAATGGACCATTACAAGAACGAACAAGTACACTTGATTTAGATTATTCTCGTGCAAATATGGTACCTATTGATTATGATACTGATCTTGAATCTGCATGGTCAAATACAAGTAACAGTTCTTGATGAATGATTTATCTCTAATTTTTTGTTTAATTTCTAAAAGATTTATTTGGTGGCGGTGATGAGGCATCAATTGAAAAAAATCGAAATATATATTATCAAAAACAATTAGCAAATCAAATTAATAGTCAAGTAACATCAATTATTTCGTTAATAACATCTTCAATAAATATTCATTTAAATATTGGTCAAAATTCAATAATAAATACATCTCAAACATATATGTCATTAGAAACAATATCCGTAACATCACTTTCAAGTAGAATTGTTAAACAAATTGAAAATGCACAATTTCATATTCCATCAGATTTTATTTTGAATACAAATGATAATTCTTCGATTTCACTTCGAGTGAGTTTTTCTTGTAATATTATTTAAAGAATTTCTTTTGAATTTTTGTAGTCAAAAATGGATGTACTTGCTTCATTTGGAGATTTTCAAAATACAAATCTTTCAAGATCAATTTCACTTTCAATTATTGATCAAAATGGAAATGAAGTTTCGTTTCAAGCCAATGAAAATAATTCAATAAAACTAATAATTCCTCGTGATCCAAATAGATTAATTCCATCAATGTATTTACAAAATGTTACATCAATTAATTCAACTATTAATAATCTATTATTCAATTATCATTATATTAATATAACAAGTTCACTTCCGATTTCAGTCCATTTTGAAATTCATTCTTTAAATAGAAGTCTTGCTTATTTATTTGTTTATAAATTTGATCAAACACCACAATTAAATAGTTCAATTAATCTTATTGATGGATGGACAATTTTTTGTCCTTTCAGTATGTTTTCTTTTCTTGAACATTCATATAGGTTGTTTTTCTATGATTATAGATTTAACCAATGATGATATATATCGATATTTTATTGATAATCAACAAACACCTGGTCATCAATCATTAATATTTGGAATAAGAGAATTAACTTCAACAGAAATTAATAATTATTGCTTAAATAATTCTTCAATAAATACGTCTCTACCAATCACTGATGAACCATATGATTTTACATCAAATTATGAACTTCTTATATATACATCAGGTTGTTATTATCTTGATGAAAGTAACAATTGGAAATCAGATGGATTAATTGTAAGTATAAGATGGATTAGGAAAATAAAGATTGTTTGATATTTTTTAACCATAGGTTGGATCATTGACAAATCTCTATGAAACAGAATGTCTCTCAACTCATTTAACAACATTTGCTGGTGGTTTTATTGTTTTACCTGCACCAATTAATTGGAGTTATGTATTTGCAAATGCTGATTTTATGAAAAATAAAACAGTTTATTTAACAATGATATTTACTTCAATAATTTATATTATTTTAATGATTTATGCACGTTTCAAAGATAAGAAAGATTTTGAAAAAGTAAACTAAAACATATTGTTCTATATATTTCATACAATCAAAGTTTGTGATTTGTTTTAGTTGGGAGTAACACCATTAGCTGATAATAATAAATCCGATCATTATTATTATCAAATTCTTATTTTTACTGGTCAAAGAACAAATGCTGGAACAGATTCAAAAGTAATATAGTACAAAGAAAATACCTTAATGAAACTTCTTTTTTTCTTTCTGCTAGGTTTATTTTGTTTTATCGGGTGATGATGATCAAACACAAGTTCGATTATTTTCTGATCCTCATCGAAAAATTTTTCAACGTGGTGGAATTAATTCTTTTATTATTGCTGTTCCAAAGTAAAACTATTATTCTTTCTTTAAAATTTTATAAAAGATTAATATATAGATCATTGGGATTACTGGATTATATTCGTATTTGGCATGATAACTCAGGTGAAAGTTCTTCGGCATCATGGTATTTAAAATATATTATTCTTCGAGATTTACAAACTTTGGATAAATCTTATTTTATTTGTCAACAATGGCTTGCAGTTGAAAAAGATGATGGACGAGTAAGTCGTATAATAGAAAGCATATTGTTTCTTATTTTTGTTTTCAATTTAGATTGAACGAATTTTACCAATTGCTAGTGAAGCAGAAAAGCAAGACTTTTCATATGTATTATCAAAAAAAGCTTATCATAGTGTTTCCGATGGTCATTTATGGTTTTCAATATTTTCTCGTCCACCATCAAATAAATTTACACGTGTTCAACGATGTACTTGTTGTTTTGTTTTATTTTTTACTTCAATGTTAATCAATATAATGTATTATGATTTATCAAATGAAGCGAACGCATCAAGTGAAACACATAGCGGTGCATTATCAATTGGTCCTTTTTATATAACACCACAACAGGTATGTATTGATTTTTATAGCAAAACATATAGACTACACTCACCCCCATGTGCCTCTAAAATTTCCAGTTTCTGATTAATGAAAGCATTTTATATATTTAAGATTGGAATTGGCATAATGGTCGAATTATTTACATTTATTCCAAGTCTCTTAATTGTTCAATTCTTTCGACGTATCCGACCTCGTCGACAAATTGCACCAATACGTGAAGCATTATATAAGATACAACCATCTCGAAAAATGTTCGTATATATTTTTAAATACATTCATCCACACTCACATTCTTAATTATAGTAGTTCGGAAGATATCTCTGAAATTAAGAAAAAGAAATCTCCAATAACATTTCCTTGGTGGTGTTTATTTATTGCTTATAGTCTTTCAATGATAATTATTGCTATTTCAATATTTTTTATCATTGTTCGAGGAATTGAATTTGGTGATGTCAAAACTCAACAATGGTTAACATCTGTTCTTACCGGTTTCTTCTCGTCAATTATTTTTACTCAACCTATTAAAGTATGCCTTCTATTTTCTTTTAATCTATATTTTTGAAATATATTTCATTGAAGATTATATGTTTGGCTATATTCTTCATATGTTTTTGTCGAAATTCAAAAGATGATAAAGAAACAAGCGAATATATAAATGAAGATGATGAATTTAATATATCTAACGATGAAGAGTATCTTCATTCACTTGAGGTTTGTTATCATTTCGAATTTCATAGAAAAATAAATTTTCTGTATATAGTATCAATCATTATTTTCTTCCCAATCCCGAACAAGTATTAATCGTCTTAATGAAAATGAAATTGCTTTTGCTCGTGATCAACGGTTGAAAGAAATTCAAATGTGGGCAATTACTCGGGAATTCCTGATTTATTTTATATTTGCCATATTAGTTGTTATAATAACTTATTCAAACCGTGAACAACATAGTTTTTATCAAGTCAATCATTTACGAGCTTATTTTCTCAATCAAAGACAAACAACTGCTGATTATACTGAAGTTTGTTCTTCTTTTCTTGTATTGAAATGAATTCTGTTTTTTTCTAGATCAATACAATCGATGACTATTGGTATTGGTTAGAAAATAGTTTTGTTTCAAATATTCGTGCACAACAATGGTATAATGGAGATATTCCACAATATTTAAATGGATTTTTGAATGATAAATCCAGTCGATTAATTGGTTGGGCAACAATGAGACAATTACGTGTTAAATCAGAATTATGTCCCGATCAACGTGTTATTTCAATATGTGAAGATAGTTATAGTTTTTCTAATGAAGAAACAGAATTATTTCAACCAGGATGGACAACAAATGCAACGACCGAAGAATTCAGTTCACCAGTAATAAAAGCATTTAACTATTCTACGAGTGATGAATTAGATACATATACATATGTAGGTGAATTTGGAACATATAGAGGAGGTGGTTATGTATATGAATTTCGTGGTCGTTTATCTGATATGAAAACAAATTTATCTACACTTCACCAATTAGATTGGATTGATGACAAAACAAGAGCTGTTTTTATTCAATTAACATTATACAATCCAAGTGTTCAGTTATTAACTGCAGTTACTTTACTTGCTGAATTTCTACCAACTAGTGGCGTTTATACAACAGCTCGTTTCGAACCAATTAATTTCTACAGTAATTTACTCTTTAGTTTTTATTTCTAAAGACAAATAAGTTTTTGTTTTTTTAAATTTAGCATTTACATCAATATTACAATTAGTTTGTACAATATTTTATATATTTTTTATTATTTATTTTATAATCATTGAAATTCGATTATTATTTGAATTAAGATTAAAATATTTTCGTCAATTTTGGTCCATAATTCAATTAGGTATAATTGGCTGTTCATTGGGAAGTATTGGAGTTTATTTTTGGCGTTTTCAAGAAGCTAATCGTATTAGTCAATTATTTGAACAAACCAACGGATATGTTTATATCAATTTACAACTTGCAGTTTATGTTAATGATATTTTAACATTTCTTCTTGGTTATTGTTGTTTTTTTAGTACGATTAAATGTCTTCAATTACTTCGTTTTAATCAACAAATATCTTTATTTGCTGAAATATTAAAATATTCTGCAAAGGCACTGATTTCATTTTCACTATTGTTTGCAATTGTATTTATGGCATTTCTTGGTTTATTTTATTTATTATTCGTATCAAAACTTTCGTCATGTTCAAGTTTAGTAAACACTGCTCAAATGCTTTTTAAAATGACATTAATCAAAAATGGTGCATCACAAATAATGGAAGCTGATGCTTTTCTTGGTCCACTTTGTTTTAGTTTATTTATATTTCTAATTGTTTTTGTTTGTTTTAATATGTTTCTTTCAATAATTAACGATAGTTTTCGTCATGCGAAACAGAATCAAAAGGACGATCAAATTATACTCTCATTTATGCTAAAGAAATTTTTACGATGGACAGGTATGTAGATTCTATGATTTATCTATTAGATGACTTTGGAGCTTCTCTTGTGTGCCATTCATTTTCATAATTTCTTCTCAAATGATAGGCAAGTGCTTTGAGTTTTTATTTATATGAACAACCTTCGTTTATTTTCTATTTTCAACAAAACATTCCGCAACGGGTAGAGGAGATTATGATTGAAGAAAAGACTTCTACATTCACTCTCAAGATTGATGTATTTTAGTAGAACATAGTTGTCTATTAATATTTTAGGTCTGAAGAAATTAAATCAAGAAGAAATTCGAGAAGATCGAGATTGTCGAATGCGTTCACAATATTTTGATCCAATTGAAAATTTTCCTGATAGAATTGATCAACTACTAGAAGCATTCAATAGAGTATGTTGATATCTATTATATTTTTTATTTGAGATTGTTTCGTGTTTTTTTTAGATTTATATGGATCAAAAAATCGAACTAGCAAGATTGGAAAAAGCTGGAGTCTAAATATTATCTTTTAAAAATGACTAATATTAATATAATAAGCTGTAAATAGCTTCTAAATCATTTTTTTTCAAAATAAAGCATTTGAATATTCACACCCCTAGAGTTTCTTACGTTTACATCATTCAATTAAACGAAATAAAGCGACATTTCATTCTGAACGCTATATAGGTGATGCAATAACTCATAAGTAGTGACACCTATCAATTGAATATTAAGTTAGTACCACACTTTTTCTAAAGTGTAAACAAAGTCTGTAGATAGAATGATTGATCACAGATAATCAATCAATTGATACTATCCAATGGAGCTAAGTTGCTACGGGCTGTTGGAGTTCTCTTGGCAACGAATGTTGTAATGTCTACCTCTCAATCACTTTTCGATTTCGATCACTTGATTGAAATTCAATATTTTTTTCATTTCATTCATAAAGCCAAACAAAACTTATTCATACATCGTCTAGGATTATTTTTTCCAATATCTATTTCTATATATGATTATTCGATAATTTGTCTTCAGATATAATTCGAATTTTGTTAAGGTTTTTTTCTTCGATAGATTTGTGTCAGATATTTAGAATTTCTCATTGATCAACTATGACGAATATACCATTATATTCATTTCTTTTTGCACATTTGCAAATGGATATACCCTATACTAATACAACTATCCATATTTATCCACCATGGACTTCTATTATTTCATATGGATCATGTTTCTTATATATATTTTTAATTACTATTATTTTTCCATTATTCACATCGAAATTATCATTAGAATGGACAAATTTCATTGCTAAACTTCATCATATTCTACTATTCTTCTATTCACTTTTTTCATTTCTTGCTGCTTTATTTTATTTAATATCAACAAATGAAATAACAAATTGGTCACAATATCTTTGTAATCCAATACCACCTTGGCTTCGTATTGTATCGATTACATTTACGTTATCAAAAATATGGGAATGGTTTGATACAGCTATTCTCATATGGAAAGGAAATTCATTAACAAAAATTGGATTTCTTCATATTTATCATCATGCAACAACATTCTTATTATTTTTATGTGTGATGAATTTTCCGGGCGCAGAAAAAAGTGGTATGCTAATGAATGGTTTTGTTCATACACTGATGTATTATCATTTTGCTTTTCGTTTACCGAAATTCTTACGACCATTTATAACAACATTACAAATTATACAACTTTTTACAGTTATGTATATATGGAGCATTGTGCCGAAATCATGTCAAGCGTATAAACATTTTCTTGATGAGAATATTTTTGAATATTATTTTCCTTCTGCTCTTGTACCCATTTATTGTCTGTTTTTCATCAAGTTTTTTATGGAACAGTATCTTGTTTCATCTTCGAAAAAGATGAAATCTTCTTCGCGAAAAACTGAATAAAAAACTATAATCGTCATATTCACAAGTTTGTCATTGATATGTTTTACTAGAATCTCTATTAAATGAATTTTATGTTTTTTTTTAATCTTTGAAATAAATCAATAGTTTTAGGATTAGTTTTTCTTCAATCATTTTATATCTAAAGAAATACATGCTTGTATTTATATCGGTATACACAATTTGAATAACGATGATTACTTCTGCTGAATAGAGGTTGAGTATATGTTTAAAATAAATTCAACAATTACATCCTCAAAGTTTATATACATATATTTTGTCTGAATATAATATAAATTCAACATATGAGGGTGACGGTGAGTATCTAATCATAAGCGTAGGGGCGTAAGTCAAGTGTCAGAGCAGGAAGGCGTAACCCTAGTTTTTGTATTTCAATGGTCAAAAAAAGTGGACTTTCTAGAAGCAGGGGGGGGGGGCATTAGTGGCGTATCTAAAGTCTGGCATTGCCAGGCCACCAAGAAAAAGTCCTACTAGGTACTTTATTTTTTTACTATATTGTCGATGAATTTAAATAAGAATCGTAAGGCATTACAAGACCACCAGTCAAATCCTGGATACGCCACTAGGGGGCATAAACCCCTTTTTTCTTATTAGTTTTCGGAAGCAGGGGAGGGTACCGCGCCCCACCCTATTTACGCAACGGCATAAGCGGCGCATCATAGTAGCGAGGGGTAGCAATTGCTACCTCTAATAACACGTATTCTGGGAATTGCTATAAGAACGCTTAGGTACTGCGAAATTTGTCTTATTTTCTTAGACTAATTCCATCATGTGTGCGTGACATTTGTTTATGTCTTTATCTTCAATAAACATTGAACGTAGTTTTTGGTATTGTAACTGAATTTGTATCGAAAAAATGAAATAGAAGAAAATATTTTGATTATTAAATGAATTGATTAAATATAGATTTTGAAATAGAAATTTTATTATCATTATTTATTACAATCATGAGTATAAAAAAAATTTATTGCTGCCCCTAGAAATTTTGAGTTGCGTCGTCTGTGAATCTAATGTATACCACATCCATCCTCAGGCTAGACTGTTCCTTGAGATTGACGAATGTCTTTCACAACCAAATTAGATAAAGCTGGCTAAAAATATAATTGAATTAAATTAAAAAAATATGGAATTAAAATAATATTCTTACATGAGCTGTTGGACTAGGAGGGTCGCGTACATGTCTTAGTTTCAACCCTGTACTCTTAACTTGGCGATATTCAGTTGAATATTTGTGAAACCTTGCGAAAACAAATCCACATATTATTTCTCCGATTATCATATAACCGAGACCGGAGCCTGAATTAATTAAAAAGATCAATAAGTTTAAAAAAAAGAAAAGAAACGAATACATACCGATTGCTACGAATAAATTAACGATATCAAACTGTCGTCCCTTACCATTAATTGCTACAATAAAACGAAATCCGTAAATTTTTGTTAATGTTCGATACTTTTTGCCGTTCACACTGTATTTCTCAGCAAAACTATTCAACAAGAAAGAAATATGAAATATACAAAAAAACGACTTTCTTATTTGTCTTACCGATAGTTGATGCCTGGAGACAGTTCATCACTACCACTTTGCAGCAAGTTAAAGGTAAAAGTAGGAAAGCATTTTTTTTCTACTTTAAGAGAATCGAAATTACATTTCCATTGTTGTTGAATTTCAATAAGTCCTCCCTAAATAAACGAAAAACATAAAGTATCTGTACACTTAAAACTTCGATAGATTAACCAAATTATAGCAAAGTGTATTATCACTATTTATAAGCACGGAAAATACTGTTATTCAGCCTTAGTCGAAGTCATCTTTAGTAGAAAATATATACTTACTTGATGGTAAAGAGCCATTAAATCTATTTGATAATCAAGACTGTGAAGATTCCGAAGAATATATCCTACAGAAAAGATAGGACAATAAGGATCAAGATCACTATCATAACGGCACGAGAAATTTGTATCTTTTTGGACCGTCCTCCTGCAATGGTAGTCAAAAAAAAAGAAAAGAATTCATAATATATGGAAAATTTCATATAAAATATACAAACATTTTTACATTGTAATTTGTAAAAGTAACGATTGTTTTTACGAAAATCGTAAATTTTTTCAAATCGTCAATGTCGATTTTATAATCTCTATAAAAACAAACAAAACATGAATATAAAACCATCTTGTTCCTAAAAAACGTGTCTCAATTTCTTATGATCTCGATTGCTAAAGTATATCCTTCCAATAACGTTTAACCCTTGGTGCTGAAGTCTATAATAGATGAAACGGGAAATCCAAAATCTTTGACTTGAAACTTACACTCACTATTATCTTTCATTAAATATGTAAGTTTCATAAAAAAAACGTGTTAGATAGTCTAAGATTCTGTTCTAAATCAATTTCAAGTCAAGAATGTTCGATATTAAGAGAGTAATAATAAAATCTTACATAAAATTCGACTGTTCCACCGGACACCATGCATTAATCTCACAGACACGACGTTTCTTCTTCTCCTGGCTGCGTACACATTTTCCAGTCAGGAAGCCTATATAAGAATATATATATATGTATATAAAAATCGTAAATCATAGCATACCATTTGTATTAACTGTTTGCTTGCCTTTTTCACATGAATTAAGTGTAGAGTTACAGAATAATTTATGGCTCAAAGCCTATAATTAAATTCTCTCCGTAATATATTGTATAAATATATACTATTATATAACTTACACTTGGACATGTGCCTAACGTTTGATTGTAAGTAACTATTTTTCGCGTCGCTACGAAGAAAGCATTATTTTCCTATATATGAAATATTGTAATATAAAAATTGAATGAAGAAAACAACGTACAAGGGGTGGAACGAGATATTCAGCTGCGTCCCATAAATCTTCTTCTATGTCATCTGAAAAATATACGAATAAACAACGATCATATTCTTTTTCATATAAAATGAAGAGAATTTACTAGAGACAAAATTTGACCTATTAGCTGTAACACGTGCTACACCTTTGACCTTGATTACACTGGCACCACTGGGTATTTGCACGTCCTGGTACCCCTTCTTTATATAAACAATATAACTAGAAAAAGAAACCGTTAAAAAGTCACGATATACATATTACAACTTACATAGCGATATATGCAAGGACAGCCAATTGAAGAAAACGGTAGAGTACTGCAATAGACGTGTTCTGTACTCTAACTTTTTTAACAGTTGAATAGGTTCCAAAATAATATTCAACTGTTGGGCGAAAAGTATCAGAAACTGATGACCACAAAGTTTTGGATTTTTTGCTGGCCATTGATGAAAAAAATTGGGTATTACCTAAGAGAAAAAAAACGTAAAACAAACTATTTTTAGGTCTTTAATTTTCAGATTTTTCGTAAATATTTGCCAAAGGCACTTAATATCAATATGGGTTTTCTCATGTTTATAAGTTTCTATTTCAAGTTGTTTCTAACTGACAAAAGGACATATAGTGAACTTCGCATTTTATCAAAAAAAAGTATGTGTCGATCTCAAGCAGAACGAGCTTTAAACGCCTCGGAAGTACTGCAGTTTTAAGAAAAGTTAATTATAGAGTTATTGTTTGAAATCCAACGGCACTGTCTTCTCGAAATATTCTTTTTTATATACATTTGTGTTGAGTATCGCAGAAAAAGAATATTCAACAGAAAAAAAACGTTTGTTGTTATCACATAACTATTTACTAACAAACCTGTCGCGTCAATATACAAAAAGACAAAAAAGAAAAGACAACAATGTTGATAATGGCATCTTTATAAATAAAGACAATAAAAAGACATAGCTTCTAATATATAGACGTGTATTAGTCGTGAAAGAGGAATTATTGTTAAAAGACAAAATATCAAAACTGTTCACGAACTTGAAGCTGTGGGTAAGGATCAGAGGGTAGAAAATACCCACATCCATACCTACATCCTCACGTATGTGTCGATCATATAAACGATCGGTATACGTATATATGTGTAGTCTGGTTGGAAACATTACATGAAAAGATAAGTGGGAAAGGCCAAATGATATCATTGAAATAATATAACAATTTAAAAAAAAAAACAGTCTATGTAAATGATAACACAGGTAAAAATCCATAGAACAATATCATTATGACGCGTACCATAGTTTGCAAGTTGGTAATTTCATGAATGTCTAATGTGCTTCATATTTTACAATTAAAAAGCAAAATATTTTCGTTCAATCGTGAGATGATTACGGTCATTGTACTCTTAGTATTCACAACAAACGATTCTCTATCATTCTATAAAATACGTAATAGTATAAACTGGCATTATCAACAGATGTCACTTTATGACAGTAACTTTTTTATTTTTTCATCAGAAGTATTCGCTGTCCCCTATAACGTTTCTTCTTTGAATTACATTCTGAAGATAAAATTGCAGCAGAGTTTTGATATATATGATTTTTGAATAGATCAATAAATGACTTTCAACAGCAATAACATTGATGTTAATCCACACAATGCAAAGCATTGTGTTATAATCGATGATGATTTCAGTCGACATGAATTGTTTAGTAATATTCATATTTAGACATCAAATCATTTGGCTAGATTAAAGAATGTGGTAAAAAAAAGATGAATTCACACCCACATTCTCAAATAGAGGAAATGAATCATCAAGAAAAGAAAATAACGGAGACATGTTGATAGCGTTCTTTACATTGCATTCTTTCCTAATTTGAATGAAATTATTCTCAACAAATCTATTTACCTTAAGGAATATTTTGCAAAGTTTACGAGCGCAATTCCTCAAAAGGTTTCAATCATAAACGGGCGTCTTTTAGATAAACAAATAAGAAATTTGCACACACTGGGTTTTTTTCTTGGGAAAAAAATAAATTTATTTCCTGTTCTCCACATATATAAAAGGCATGCAATTGTCGACTCAAATTACATCTCATTCTATATTTCATTGAAGAATGTTATTTTTTTTCCCACAATTGATATTTTACATAGACTTTTAAAAGATGATCTTCTTTTTCAGATTTTTGTCGAACTCGTATCTATGGCTTTTCTCCAACGTCTCGCTATTAACCATCGTGAGCTTTTAAAAGATCCAGCTCCGTTTTGTCATGCAGAACCTAAAGATCCTGAAAAAGATATCACACATTGGACTGGATATATCGATGGACCAGAACAAACACCGTATGCTAACGGAAGATTCTATCTCACCATCGATTTTCCGTTAGAGTATCCATTCAAACCACCACATATTCGTTTTACAACACCTATCTATCATCCAAATATTAGTGCCAAAGGTGAAATTTGTTTAGATATTCTCCATTCTAAATGGTCTCCGGCGTTGAGTACGCGTGCTCTCTTGATATCACTATGTTCATTATTAACCGATCCAAATCCTGATCATGGATTGAATCGAGAAGCATTGAAATGCTATCAAACAGATGAAAAACAATATCAAGAAAGAGTAATAGAATGGACACGAAAGTATGCGCCAAAACAACGAAGTTTGAACTGATGGAATTTTTTCAGACAAACATAATGATTGCGATGTATAGTTTTTTTTCTTATACGGACACCATATGTTCAACTCAGTTCCATATTTTATTCGAAATAAATTACGGCACATATATATATGATTTTTCTTCACTTTTAATGTGCCATATGTTCTATTATGTGTGTGTGGGTGAAAGTATTTTCATCATCATTAGTATTCATACACACAATAAAACTGTAATACTTGAGAATGAATATGAGTGAGAACAGCTATAATAATATAGATTTCCTTTCATTACTGAACTACGTCAGATGACAAAGAATCTGTACGATTTTATTAGAAAATCACAAGATTAAAGTATCATTGTTAGATATACTTTAAAAAAAGATATATCTACTGATAATATCGAATGCCTGATAGTGATTATTCAATCGAAAACAGACTCACTTGTATGGATGTGATATAAATCAATTTGCTACTATAAATTATAACTTTTCAGCAATCGATCTTTTGTCAACAATTAATAATTAATTAATAAATGTGTTTTGACAAAACTATGGAAATGCATCTTGAAAATGAGTGTGTGTGGAATGCGGCTAAAGATGTTACAAACCATCTCATAGACTCACACATATTCGCCTTCAAAAAAACAATTTTAGCTATTTTTTATAGTGATTTGATTAGTTTTTCTCTTCCATCTTCTTTTTGATCGAACTTTATATAATGCTTTCAATAATTATGCTATTGTTATTGTTCATTTCATTGTTCTGATTTCTCAAGTAATGATTGATTCATGACTGTTGTATTGTTAAAATATTAGATGTTTTCTGCACAATTCAAACATTTCTTGATTGAAATATTTATGTTACAAGAATACTTCTTGTTTTTTGGATAACTATTGAACGACATATTCTAATTTCGGGTGATACTCTCATATCCACACTCACACCCTCAAGAGAAAAAAA